AGAAGCCGCGCACAGCATCTTGGGCTCGGCTCAAGCTTGCTGTTATATGTTATGAGCAGAACTGCAGTTTCTCTGCAGTTTGGTCTAGTGCACACAATCACACAGACATTGCACACACATACACACACCGACTCGCAAACACACACGACACAAACGCGTGCGAAATTAATTACCCTGTTACAGTATGTGTTCGTGCGATATCCTAACGGGTTTTCCTCTCTCGCTCTCTCTCGTTCACGATGTCGATGATTTTTTTGAGCTCGATCGACCCGAACGAGCGAAAGTCGACGACGATGAGCACGCGCGCGACACTCGTAATACTCGTATTCGATTTCCATCCGACCGACTCGGTGCAGGTGAAGAGGCTCGATTACAAATCTATATAATAAATACCAACACGCGGCTTCATATACTAAGTGCGCTAAATGCTAAAACGTATATGAGTTTGCCCGTGAGTGCTTGTGTGTTTGTATGCGCGCCACAATTCCGCCGTGCTATGGGAAAACTGAATAAGACTTTGCACTCGAGCGTACGCGTGCCGTGTGAACATTTTAATGATTCTTTTTCAAAAATAGACTCCACAATTGAGCTGCCTTTTTTAATTAAAGCAATGATTCTATTTCGCACCTCGCGAGAAGTACTGTGAGCAGTCTGCTTGCTGATACGATTGAATTTCGTATTGAATTTAATATTACGAAATGAATTATCATTCCTGTAGGAGCACTGCCAAGTTTTTATATGCAGGATCAAGCATATATTTCTGATTCATCGCCAGTGCGCTGTTTTAACGCGATTGCAAAAAGTGACTCAGACACTCCTGCAGCAACTTTTTCTCCCTAAAAGTTCACATTTATTTACCAGAAGTTATTGAAGTTCGAGCATAATTTAATCAAAAGGTTCTTTGAATGTATAAAAAATGCCGATTTTCCATGAAAAAGCAATAAGCCGTTTACGGCGAGTATATTTTTTATTGCAATTGATGTAATTGAAAAACATGTGCCGTGCATACAGTGACTGCGATACGTTCATGGATGGTAATGACGCGCTGGCAATAATCAACTCTTTGAGCGCACCGCCGCAAGATCGATTGAAACCGAGAAAATGAGACTCTGTCGTTTGATGACTATGCATGACATCGCTCGTGCAACATGAGTGGGACCAAAGTCGCGAGGTAGCAGCAAATTGTAATTTTTGATATTTTTTTTATCTCGAATTGGGACTCGAAAAAGGAAAAGTTACAGCTGCGAGTAATTACCAATAAAAGTGATGTAACACTTGCAAATAGTAATCTTTACAAGTATAAGTATTTAATTACAAAAGTGATAAAAATTTATAAGCATTTTTAGCTTGTTCTAAAATACTTCCACTTTTTTCGACTCGAAAAAATAAACTTGGACCTTAATTGAATAGTCAAAAGAAAGATTTATCGGTCTTGAAAATGTGCAAACTAGTGAGTAAAATCCTAGCTGAACTACACCAAAGTCAATAACGTTGCATACAGTTAGATCCCAATTGAATTTACAGATAACTGAACGCGTGGGCATATTGACTACGTATGTTTGTTAGTTGTTTTTGTCCAGGTTGCGATTCCTCACGTCCAAGGTGTTGATATAATTTACTGTCACGTTCGCGGGAGGAAAGACGACGACGACGACGACGACGAGGACTTTGCAGGACGACTACGAGGAGAGTCAGCGGCTCGAGAACGGGCCTCGACGATGGAGGGGCTCGACATGCATTAACGGATAAATGGCTCTAAAGTGCATGCAAGCGCGCGCGCACACACACAAGCGGGCAGAACTGCGCACCGATACGAGGCTCTCCTGGCACTGCAGCTCTCGCATACCACTTAATGATTTACGCGCACGCGGTCTGTCCGCGCGCGCAGTTCGAGTCGAGCGATATGTGTGCAGTACTGCGGCATGATACACACTGATACTCACACATACACGCGCATGATGCACACACGAGGCATGACGATGGCCAACGATCGCGGTAACGCAATTACGTTCGACTTCAACTCTGTATTAATTTTTCCGGCATTATTTCGTGAAACTTTTCTCTTTTATTTTTACTTTTTGATCGCGGCTGTAATTATCTTTCCATATTTTGTGAAAAAATCCCATATTGTACAAAATACCATATTGTGGAAAAAAATTGTGCTTCCACTTATACAATTATTTTTACTTTGCCACTTGCAGATTTACTGATAAAGTTATGTTCGCCATCTAGTGATGGAGCCTTAAATTATTATCGTATTCGAAGTGGTTGAAAACTTATCTAAATTTTGAATAATCATTTTCAATAAGCCAATTAATGGTAATATATTTTTTGTAACATTTTAAAAGTTCATTTTTTTGTCATCAGTCCATGATTAATGTAGAGCTAGGATCATGAAAGAATTGTTTTAAAATTCCTTCTTCCACCCACAGCGAGACGCTCCTTTCAAAAAATTTAGTCTTTATAGCTGAAAAATTCAGCAATACGAATCTATTCGATTTTGTTCAATTAAGCCGATGTTTCAAGCACCCATTACTTATATTCACACGTCGCATAGTAAGCTTGAGAGGCTACACATTTAAAATTAATAAACTCGCCGCTTTATTGCACGTGGCAGTTCCGAAGCCCTTTTCACGGATAAAAGTCGTCTGCATACTTACTGCATTCTGGGCTTGTTACGCGCGCGGACAATGTAACTTCGCGCTGCAGCGATGCGTTTCAGCCAATTTAGTGACCAATGAATTTGCAATTATTACAGCTGATATTTTTGTTGTATAAAAGCCAGTTTTTACATTGCTGGGATCACTTCCTTTCCGCTTGTTTCATTCAGTTGTTATTTAATATTTCAGCGAGATTTCGTACGCTAACGTTCAGTAAATGGCTCTGCGCAGCAGTTTTACTATGACTGTTAGTTTAATAAAACATTGCATTTATATTTTATACCATTTTGTTTTGTAATTGTAACCTATTGTAAAATTTCTCAATAAATATAATACTTAGAATTTTTAAAACAATATAAATTCATCAATATGTTTTATTTTAGCCTTTATTTACATCACAATGTAATCAGAATTTTGTAGCGTTTTCGTGCTTTTCTAGTTACAATAAGAAATCCGAAAAAAATTCACACCCGTGAAAGCATAAATTTTCCCCATTGAAATGCTTTTAAAAGCCATAGATAAAACAGACTTTTAGGTTCGTTCAAAAACACGACGCGTGTTCAGCGGTGGAAACGACAAAAGCACAGAAAACGAGCCTCGAGAATATGTTAAAATAAGTTAGCAACCTTAGGCGCGTATATAACTCGTGTGTATGGGTGTATGGAGAGCATAGAGCTCGATTCATAAGTGAGAGACATAATCCAGGCGCTGCGAAGCAAGTGCGCACAGCAGCGCAGAACCAGCGACGGAGCTTATAATGAATGCTAAGCGGCCTTTAGCTTCATAAATTCGAAAAGTTGTGTACGCGGATATGCGATGTTTAAGATCGTGTCGTGAAAGTCAATTATTCGCGCAGATCTTTTCGGCGATTCTCAGCGAGCACACGCCTGGGCGAGATTTTTAAGATATTAAACATTCGTGATCTATTGTCTTAATGGAACACTATGGATTTATTGTCTATATTTATATTGCTTGCTTTATCAGAGACCCAGTGATCTAAATAAATATTTTGGACAACATTTTCTTAATTAGTGCTTCTTAAACGTAATGAATACCAATTATAGAATTCGTTAAATTATCGATACATCTGCCATAAATATTTTTTTAACAACTGAAGTCCTAATGACTAATTGAACATTATTCATAATATCTCTTGAGTCTCATCATGTACTGTATCGGTCCGGACTCAGAGATATATTTCTCTTTCTTGTAAACATTTCTCCGCATATGTAGAACGTAAGTGTGAGTAAATTGTATGTATCAAATAAACGGTATGAATCAAATTTTCATTGCAATTGACGACACGCAAGTATCGCAGAACAATACTACGTACAATGGTCGACGATAGAGGGAGAAAGTATCGCTAAGGAGCTATCACAATCACAGTCCAGGATAACGTCGCTAACATACCAATAGTGCGTTCAGTCGAAAGAGAGGTGTTTATAGGTGAATAAGTATAGGCTGTTTTCAGAGACCGTCATTAACTGCTTCACTCAAACAGCTGATTTGCCTGTAGGCATAACAAACCGAGCTTCCATTCACTTTATATGTTAAGTCGATTAGTTTGACTGCAAATTACAAATAAATGAGATGCTCTAAAAATATATAAAAAATATGTCTATGTAGAGGAAGACTTCATCTTTTCATCTATCGAAGCGGATTTTACGATTTCTCTTTAGTTATTACAAAAAAAATTGTTGAAATTTCGGTTATTTCGGAGTTTTACTCGCTGCTCGGCTGCTGTCAACACCGAGTTGCGCGTGTCCGTGATCGTTTTAGCCATATTTGAGATTTGGTTTCGTTTTTTTTATCAATCTGCAATCATAAAATAAAAAATGGTGTTGAGGTGTTATTTAACAGGATGCAAAGCAAATTCACAAAATGGAAAGTTTTCCTTCTTTTGTATACCAACAGGAAAGCCGAAAAATAATAGAAATTCTGAAGAATTAAGGGAACTGAGTCGAAAAAGGCAATATACTCATGCTTTAATATTTAAATGTATTTTCAAATATCGCTAAAACAATTACGGACACGCGCAACTCGGTGTTGACAGCAGCCGAGCAGCGAGTAAAACTCCGAAATAACCGAAATTTCAACAATTTTTTTTGCAATACCTAAAGAGAAATCGTAAAATCCGCTTCGATAGATGAAAAGATGAAGTCTTCCTCTACATCGACATATTTTTTATATATTTTTAGAGCATCTCATTTATTTGTAATTTGCAGTCAAACTAATCGACTTAACATATAAAGTATATGGAAACTCGGTTTGTTGTGCCTACAGGCAAATCAGCTGTTCAATCCTGACCGTCAGTAACGCTTTGTGAAAACGCCCTATTACAAATTATAACCGTAAAAGTGTACAGATAAAATCCAGGTTCAGTGTTGGCTACGCGAGGCAATATAACCTAGAATACTTTATCAACGTGGATCGTGCAAATTCAAAGTTATTACACGTAATCAAACAAGAGATGGAACGCCGAGAGGATATAGTTGGGTATGAAATTTTTAAATTCATATTTCATTCCATAATATTTTTTCAAGCAATGGCTCCATCAAATTATATTGTTTTTCAGGGTAAAAAAAGAATCCAACGATCCTTGTTCAGATGCAGGTGAAGATATTTTTGATGCTTGCGAAGACAAAAACCATGAAGCATTCCCGTTTTATAAATCATCAGTGAGTTTAATGATTTGAATTTTTATGTTTTTCCGCTACCCAAAATTATAAAACAATTTTAATTTTAGGGCAATCACATGAGAGAGGCTATGGTATGGCCCGAAAAGTTGAATGAAAATAGTATATTTTGTAACAAGTGCGCGAAGCAGTTGACTCACCCAGGAGTTGTTTTCACCCGAGCGTAGCGAGGGTGCAAAGACTCCTGGGTGAGTCAACTTCCTCGCGGACTAGTTGCAAACGATATTTTTTAACTCTGCTTGCGAGAAACTAGGGTTTTCTGACGATTTAAGGTTAGAAAGCCCGTGTTTCGCGCACGCAGTGTTAAAAAATATTTATTGACTTCGAGTGCAAATATGTTGAACCTAAATTGAAGTCTCTATCAACAACAATGTGCAAAACTAAGTATCAAAGTTGCTTACCTATTGTGAAAATAGAAAAGCAAACAGAGAAAAATTACTCAAACGAAAAACGGCTAGTAATTTTAATAAAAAAAGAATTCAATTACGATAGTAATTGCCAGTTTCAAAGACAGTTTCAGGATGATTATATATTTGAAAAAATAACTCGAAAAAAAATGTCACATGAGTTTAATTTGTGTCGGAAAAATATTATTGGAGGAGCGAGTCTAAAAACACATGTTAATAAAACGTATAAGAGCATTAGACCATTTAAATGTGAGATTTGTCACAAATCATATAGGAGCAAGGGTGACCTTAATAGACACGTCAATGTGGTACATGATCGCATCAAACGCTTCGAATGTGAATTTTGTCACAAATCATTTGGACATAAAAGTGACCTGGAAAAGCATATCAATACAGTACATAATCGTCTTAAACCTTTCAAATGTGACATCTGTCACAAATCATTTGGAGAAAAAGGTAATCTCAAAATGCACATAAGAACAGTACATGATCGTAGCAAACCCTTTGAATGTGACATTTGTCAGAAATTATTTGGACAAAAAGGACATCTCAAAACTCACATAAATTCAGTACACAATCGAAGCAAACCTTTTGAATGTGATGTTTGTCATAAATCATTTGGACATAAAAGTGACCTGAAAAAGCACATCAATACAGTACATAATCGGAATAAACCCTTCGAATGTGATGTTTGTCATAAATCATTTGGACATAAAAGTGACCTGAAAAAGCACATCAATACAGTACATAATTATAATAAACCCTTTGAATGTAAGATTTGTCACAAATCATTTGGTTCAAAACATCACCTCGAAGGACAGATAAATACAGTACATAATGGTAGCAAACCCTTCAAATGTGATATTTGTCATAAATCTTTTGGTGAAAAGAATAACCTTAAAAGGCACAAAATGATAGTACATGCTCACAGTAAACCCTTTGAATGTGAGAATTTGTCAAAAATCATTTTGACTCAGAAGTAATCTCAAAACTCATGTAAATATGTTACATAATGAAAACAAATCCGTTGAATGTGAAATTTGTCACAAATCGTTTGGCCAAAGTAGTAAATTCAGTACATAATTGGAGTAAGACCTTTGAGTGTGAGATTTGTCACAATTCATTTGGACCAGGTTTGCTGAAAGCATTTAGATGTAATAAAGACTTTTAGAATCGCACGAATCTGCCAAGTAATTTTAAAAAATATTTCACATAAGTAAGTTTGAACTTTAAAGAACAATAAAGTATTTAGAATTTTTATTAATCTTTTCGGAATTGTAAAAAATTTATTCATATTCATTTCATTAACTAAATTATGAACAATATTCCTTAAGGCACCTACTTCCTATCGGTGCTTCCTATGCTAAACTCTTTAATTGATCCCCGTATACGCCAAAAATTGATAATAAATGCAACATACCTTCGAATTTACGTACTAAGAAAACTTTGAAAAGCCTTCAGAAAATATGCATCTTAAAAGTATCGAAATTTGTATGATTTCCAGAAAAATTCTAGTCTTTTATGTTTAGAAAAGGCTGAGGCATATAAAAAATGACTGTCATTCCTCTAAAAGAAGACGAAATGGAAATAGAATATGCTGTCCGGTTGTATATAATGCTGGCAACACATGACTAGCTACTGTTTTTTTATGTTTTTTTGAAACAGATTCCATCTTTTCAATCAGCACCCGTTATCGTATTCCACACCTCGCTATCAACATAAATAAAGGATTTATCATCGATAAAAATCTCAGGTTGAAATAAAGCCAAGCCGAACTTCGTGATTTGTATCCTTTGCCCGCACATATATGAAATAAAGACATAGCGATCTCAGCTGGCATATTGTGTGCAAGTGTCAGCAAGGCCTAGTGTAGACGCCATTTAAGCCGTCGAATTAAACAAACACCGAGGAAGAAAAGTAAGCATATTATACATAATTATGATCTATATTAGCATATATACGGCTGGCGAGAGAGTTACGAATACGCGAACAACGTCACCTTCGAGATATTTCTCTGCGCAGGTTTTCGAATTCGAAGAGCGAAGAAAAAAAAAGAAGCAGATCCAAGTCGTTGGACGACGGGCATAATATGCGCGACAGCGATGGCTTGCGGGTGTTGCTTCCCAACTTTGGTTTTTAAATGAAGGACATTAATTTGCCGAGAGAGCCCGGCTGCACTAGACCACACGAGAAGTAGCAATATAGCGTTCAAATGTTTCGGCAATGGACTCAAAAAAAATGAAGAATAGAACCTGACGAAATTACAAGCGACAGGTTTTTCTCTAAGTCTCTCTCCCTTCTTTCTTGCTTTCTCACTTCTTTCATTCTCTCTTCCTCTGTTTATTAACGACGTAGGACTTAATACGAGTTCAAATACATCGCGTTGCCTCCATCGTCGTCAGTTGCTAATGTTTTCACTTCATTAAAAATCGTATGGAAAGTTCAAATGCCTTTTCGAATAATTTGAATAATAATTTTTCTCGATAAGAATTTCTTTCTATTTTGACGCTTGTCAATCTTTCCATTGATAAGACATTGCTGCACAAACATGTTGCGAATTGTAAGTCTATAGAAATTGATTTTATTAATGACTTTTTTATTGATGACTGTTATGTGACAAAAAAAATTGTCTCCTTAAAAAGCGAACTCTGGTATACGAAGAAAAAAAACCTCATAATGCGTTAGCTTCGACAGTTAATTTACGATCAGATACTTTCTAAAATATTTAAAAAGAGGCACGCTCATTTTTATATTTTTGAACGAAGGTAATTAAAATACAACATGGATTCGCTATTTTTACGTAATTTATATGCAACCTGCAAGTCTGGAAGACTCGCAATAACAATAAATACCTACCAAAATGACATATGAAGTGACAATGTGTCTCTTCTAGTCTATCGGATGAAGTGAAATGAATAAAGTTACTATTTATTTTTGTTTTTCTTCTGGCTTGATGAAAACAGTAGCACATCTCGTTATATTTTAAGGCCAATAACTGCGGAATAATTTCTGCTACCGAGTTTAATATTACGTCAGGTTTTAAATTACATCACCTGTTGATTTATTAAATTAGTGTAAATAATTCATGAGAACAATAATTCTTCTTTAATTTTTACAAAAATTTTAATATTATTATGACTGCCTTTTCTTGAAATTCACTCACAACTTACGCTGATAAATATAATTTAAACTTTGTTGGTTTAGACTTTCAAAATCTGTACATTAGCAATAAAATAGAATTTTGGTTTAAAGATGAATTTTTATAAAAAAATTCTTTAAACAATTTAAAATTTAGTCAATAAACCAAACCATTCAATATTTCATCAAATAACCATCTTATTTTTATGAAACTACAGCCTCAAACGGCAAATAACTACAGAGAACTTAGCTTCAGTTTTGAAGCTCGTGCTTAAATTGTTTTAAATATTAGCTGTAAGAATCTCAATAAATGCATTCACAAATATTTTATAAGTAATTTGAAAAAATATTTAAAAACATTTACCCCTTTGAATTAAGATTGTATGAAAAAAATGTCACGCCCATGCCTTCCTTTATCCTTTAAAGAGTTAATAAAAGATACATAATGACGAATAAAAGAAAAAAGAAGCAAGAAGAGGAAGTAGCCGAAGAATGGAATTTGGCGAAACAGGATCGAAATCCGAGGTAATCCGAGTCAAAGTCTAAGGAATAAAGCACAAATCAGTCTGAGTGGAGATGTGTTGGGCCGGAGAGCAGACTGGTTTTTCGTAAAGCAGAAGCGACAAGCGAGAAGTGCCATAAAGGGGCGCTGGTATCCGCTCATCGATTTCGAATAGTCAACACTTCCTTTGAGAGCCTCGCTAGTTTTATGAGCTTCCAAATTATGGACAACAAAAACAAAGGTATCGGCTCCTCTGCACCTTTTTTTCTCGCTGACTATGAACCACCATGAAGTTTCGTAAAATCAAGTACTGGAGTTGGGGTTTAGGTAGCGCAGCTTTTTCTTCGAATACTCTTGTTGCATAATTAAAATGAAAACTTCTCAGTGTCTATCAGAATTAGAAATTTATCATTGAGTACAAAATTGACAAGATATTATCAGTGACCGCAACCAGTGATATTGATCGAGTTTCCTTTTTTTGTATTTTAAGACAGAAGCTAAACGTTATGATATAAGAAATTCGATCCGAGAGGCATCGATTTGCTCATTACAGCAGTATTAATTACAAATCCAATTCAACCTTTCAATTTAAAGCGTAACTTATAGCTACTGAACGGCGATCCGAAAAGATAAAATCTTCAATATAAATCAATATTCTATCACCTCGTATACGTTTAAATGCTTTCTACCATTTTACTGATTTGCGCGATCGATTAATCTGGCCGTAAACTTGAATTCGATGTAATTAAACTTAACGTGATTAATTCGACTCGAGACACACGCTTAACCCGAATAATGAAATAAGATGAATAATCTATCGAGAAAATTTCAAGATTATAATGATGTGCTGGCTGCTGTTTTGAATTATTTGATGAAAAATGCGTAAGCTCAAATTAAATTCATTGCCCTCATGAATATGCATCCGTGTAGAAAGGAGAGGTGACTGTAAAAAATCATGTGTTAACCGCGAACGATGAATTCATTATACAATATACCGAGGCAGTTATAGGACTAGTAGCCGATTTTAACTAAAAAACGAGAGCCTCGTATTTTCCTTTCTTATACATTGGCATCTTTCCGAAAACGATTATGTACATATCCGGGTTGCAAAGCAGCAAAAATTTATGATCGTTAAAAGTCGATGTTAAGGTAAGAATATGGTCGATTGAGAAATCAGGACGTAGCGAATGAAAGAATGTTGCTGCCGTCGGAGCCCGGATGGGGGTACACGGGTATATATATCGTGCAGCTCGAGCGCAGCCAAGAAAAAGAGAAAGAAAGAAAAAGACAACAAGGCAAACACCCTAAGCGTGCCCCGCGCGCCTGTGTGTGTGTGTGTATAGTGCGGATGATCGTCCCGTGAAATGGATCGTTGTGGTCTCCGTTAGAGCGACAACTAATTAGGACTAAAAAGCTTGGCCTCAACGATGCCGCCACCGCCGCCGTAGTCGTATAGCTATATAACCATGCGCGCATTTTTGTCTCGTCCGGTTCCGTTCGGGAGATTTTAAGATCCACTGCGCGCGTGCATATTTTGTCTATAAACATATTACGCACAACAATCTTTTGACAATTCCTCTTGGCCGGAGCTCGCTGCTGCTGCTATTTTCTCGTCCTCGCTCTCCTCCTCTCTTCTCCGACTCGTTCTCTGGACATGGCTACGCACACACATACGTGCATTTATACGTATATATAGGAGCAAACGTTGATGCGAGAACAGTGTATATTATAATGCATGCGTCACTTCACAAAATACGAACAAAATAAAAGGATCAAGGATATGTGCTGTAGAATCCCAGATGCATGAAATTTTATACGACACGATGAGACGAATAAGACGATTTCGAGCTAAAATACATTTTTCAAAGTTCACATATTTGTGTTAATAAAATTATTCTAGTTTTCAATGTGTATGTAAATTTAATTGCATTATCGAAAAATAATTTGATGCGACTATCAGGCATGCATAATGAATTATATCATTGCGTCGCATGAGCATGTAAATAGATTTATGATTACGAGGCTTTGAACAATTTTCGGTTATTAAGCTCCACGCGTGAGGTTGCATCGCTACACGCACTGCTGTCCCCTTGATCCGATGAAGCGTGAGAAGTTTTTACAGTTAAACATCGCCGCGCGTTATACATCCATGCTTAAATATGTAAGTGCTTTTAATTGCAAAGCAGTATGCGGCTGAGCTGCACGGAAAAAATGAGCTCATCGGTAGTCTTGTCGCGCGCGCGAGCGTCGAACGGCTTGAAAAAAGCCGCTGCTGCTGGTACGCGCGCACGTCCGATAAGCTCTTATCAATGCCGGTTCAGCTCGCGGCCTACGACAGCGTACTTCCGCTAGTCTTGCGCGGCGCTGCTCATCCATCCCCGCATATATAACATGCATAGTCAGGTTGTTTTATTGAATCTCTCGAGTCAGCGAAGCGCGTATATGCGGCGAACGTCAACTTTTTCAATCGGCACAAGTCCGTCGTTCGATATTCGAGCAATGCCGCGTTTTACCGAGTGATGATTTTAGACGGTCGAAAGTCGATATGATCGACGAAAACTTTTTTCGTGCTTCTGTAATATTTTCAACGCGTTCCCGAGTCAGCCAAAGTACGGAGCTACTGCTCTCACAGCTGAGCACGCAAGGTTTTAAATAGAAGCGGTGTAAAGCACTTAAAATTTTGAAGTCGAAGCTGGTCTTTCTCAAAGCTCAATTACTCTCGAGAGCTCGCGCGACTCGGGCACACACACACACGCGCACGCACACATCCGCATAGCTCTATAGTAAATCTAACAATTTCTATTTTGTATTTCAACTCGTATGAATAAGCGCGTGGAAGAAAACTTGTTCGAGTCGCATTATCGTTCGTTTTTTTTTTCTTATCTGCCAGTTCACTGCGAGGCAGTCGCTTTTGCTTGCCGGTGCCGTATACAATATATAACTATATGTGTGTGTGCAGCACATGCATAGGTAAATTTATGGATGCTCGCAGTGTTTTGACAGCGGGCAAAACGATAAGCGAGCGGGTACACGCAGTACGTGTGCGCGTTAGCAACATATATGTCAAAAAGTCATAATTCGCGTAAAAGTGCGCGTCGCGCAAGAATCGTCCTTATCGCATCCTTAATGTAGTACCTCGAGCCTCGCCGGCTGAAAAATGTGCACATGATCCGAAATGGGCGATCGGGAATTTTCCGCCCGCATATGGTCATTAGAAACGTGCATACTTTGGAGCGGCTAACAACTTTTTCCGTCGATAATCGGTGAGAAGTTTAGAATTTATTCGTTACAAAGCAAAGCAAAATTAAAATACGTACATGAATTACGTGCGAGACCTTAGTAGCAAGTATGATTAAAAATCGATAACTCATAGAAGGGTGACACCCAAATAGGTTTGAGAAAAATCAATTCAGCTTTGCAGACTCTCGGTAGTTTTTCATTTATTCGAATATTAGAAAGTGAGCTATGTATTGGACCAATATAAAAAGCTCGTTAAAATTCACATTTAATTCAAAATCGATAATCATCGTGAAGTAAAATTAAAAAATGCAATAAATAATAATAATTGAAAAATAATATCTGCAACTATCCTCGTGACATTTCCATAAAGTGCCTATGAATTACAAAGCGAAGCTTGCAGAAAGTATAATGTCCCGATAGAGCGAGAGACAGCGGCCGCTGCCACGCGCACGTGCAATGACGGAATGTAAGCTCTCATTTGCTCGAGGGGTACATGCTCTCGCGCCTGCCCGTGGCATATTACGCGATACAATTCAAAATTATCGAACTTACACGCTGTAAATCCGCCTATACACGAGATTGAAATTTGCCTCATATCTGGGCGTATAACTGCCTCGGCCTGCGTACTCGTGTCTGAGCAGTGTTCGAATCGTTGCTTCTGTCTGTCTGCGCGCGGACGCTAATAGTACACGAGTATATGGCAAAGAGAGAGAGAGAGAGAGACAGACACACGAGTCGCTCGCCGTACAGCAAGAACCTTTCAAATCGCTGATAAGTCTCGCAGAGCCTAGGAGCGATTGTGTCGCCTAAAATCTCAGCCGTAAAGAGCCAGATTTCTTGAGGCGAGCTCGCTCCACCCGACGTTTATTCATATCAATGACACGATAAAATAGCAGCAGTGTCATTACTTAGTGACCGCGTACGCGACGAGCTACGCGAGTCATTTACGCGCGCGCGTGTATATACGGACTGCACGTACAGCGCACCACTGCTTCGTACGAAGATTTTGCATGGCCGAGGGCGAGCGCGCGACTGCAAACAAAAAAAAGTGTTTCACGATAGTCGAAATATAAATTTATCATGTCTTGATAGGACGAATTCATTATCGTAAATTTCCGTGCCCTCTCTCCCCCAGCCCCGAGTGCGAGTACAATGCCAAGGCATCATCGGGCTTTTCTGCGCGTTGCGTGCAGTTCGACCGTTACTATTTCACGTGCGCTGCGTGTATTATGAGTTGGCTGTATGAGCGGGGCTCGGGCGAGTGCATTTGGCGACGACGAATCACGAGCCCGAGCTTGCCTGCCTACGGTCTATTATTCCTTTGCCTTCGTACTGCGAAAAAGCTCCAACCGAGATTCTTATCCGAGCCCTTCTTTCGTTCATCGGCTTGAGCCTCGTTATTTTATGATTTTTCAGCACGGTGCACTTGAATCATTATTTGACTTGCAAGTTTCTTTGAAACTCAAAAGCTTTTCACTCTCATTTCAGGTAATAATTTCAGTTGTGAATTTTATTTTTAATTGTTTTCCTATGAGGCACGTATAATATGATACAGAAAAAAAGTTATTTTATAATTGACTTTCCATTTTTTCCATTTGTTTATTTATATTTTGAAGAAGATATTCTTGTTTTGTGCATTCTTAGAATTTACGGTATATGAAAAATATTTAAATGATAAAAAAAATTGTTTTGATCGAGCATCGCTATCGTAACTATAACTACGCGAAAATGTCAACAGATGTCAGAAATAAATCTGAACGAGAGATATTACACTCTTAATTATATAAGCACATCCTAAAATCACCACTGCGTAGATAATTTTGTTCGATGTTTAGTAGAATTTGGGGTGGTAAATATTTGGTAAATATTTGTATTTATTTAAAGAAAACGTAATATTCTTTATTCTACTTAAATTATGTGAAATTTGGAGTTGTCTCTTACTGAAGTTATCGTTACATTTTTCGTCCCTTGTTTTAATTAATAATTCTTGAGTTTATTTTATCTCATAGGAATAATGAATCGAAATAATAGATTACGTGACTAGGGAGTACAAAACTGGAAAGAGTAAGAGCACTTGTTAATGAGCGGACGAAGCTGAGGCTTTCCTATTTTTCCCTCCCTTGTAGGCCCGTAACTATAATTATAACTTATGCATGTCTTCATACTATATTAAAAATTTGTAAAGTTTCGTTATCAATTGAAGGCTTTGAATTAAAACTCCTTACTCCGTTTTTCCAAGTCTTTATCGTGAACGCTCACATATCATTTCTCAAAACCTTTCCTACGTCTTCAGCCTTACCATTATGTTTTCTTTTTACGCCTTGATTTTAATGATTTATAACACAATTTTCTATATTACTTGTTTATTTTATTAAGTCTATTCACGTTGACTTGGCAATAACCTATTACTAATAAGAATGTATCGTATCACTAAATCCATTCATTTTTAACTAAGCGAAAATGAATAAATGTCTATTAAATATTACGACTAAAAAGTGGGCAGTATTAAAAAATACGTGTAAAATTTTGTTACAGAAATACCAAGTATTGTTGTACGTACAGTTGCTTTCTTTGTATGCATATAGACACGACGATATCGTTTTTATGGTTGCTCTATCAAGGCTCGCGATACATAAAAGGTAAAAGTGATTTTAACTAAACACGCATTCGTAATTAGTTTACTACTGCTAATATTATCCACTATCGCATATAAATTTAAACGCGCATATAAGCTAGATACAGGCACGTACACGAGCAAGTACACAGCACGCATTGGCATACACTGCACACACATGCGAGACTTGTCATCGTAAAAGCTCTCGATTTATTTATAAGATGATTATGAGGGCAATAAATCAATCAATTGAGTAATTTTTTCAAAACAGCCGAGTGATTTAAAGTCGAGCTAGAACTTACAGTTTTTCCTAGAGAATAATATTTGCACAAAAATAAGTTTACACAAATTTACATGTACGCTGTATAATACGACCTCGGGCGGTACATTTATTTACATGCATTTAAACTCATTAATGAAAATTGGAGTAAAAGCCTGGTTGGAAAAAATACGTAGAAAGTAGTTGTGATCTATGTACGTAAATTTTGTAGATATTATACTTTTACACAAGATTTATCAAACGATTCCGCAACTAAAGATGAAATAGTCGCTGCTTTGCAAATCGATGATAATGATTCGGAGACTTTTTGGCAAACAAAAAGTAAACAGACATTTTTCATTTGAAGTCGCATAATTCCATGGCCTGCTTTTCTAATGTTTATATCACTTTGCTTACACATACAATTTTGATTGAAAAAATTTGACCATCTTCGTGAGAGCTATTACAAAATTATGCTCTTGCGCGCCCATAAGTCTCAAAACAATCGACGAAAGCGGAGAAGCGCAGATAATCAACTTTCTTTCCATCAATCGTGTTTGCTCGCGCTCTTGCACATTGAAAAATTACTCCTTCGAAATACATAAAAGCGCTGTTAATAACGAGCTACGATAAAAAGAATAGTATATACACCGATGGTACTTAATTATCCTGATAAGCAAATTTTTAATGTTCAAGTCATGTTGGCCGATAAGATTCTTGTTCTCGGGTATTTTTTTTCCAGCGAAAAATTATGTTATAAACGAATAATGGACTTTTTAGACGAAGCGCGCGTTTTTTTCAACGCAAGCCACTCGCGCACAGGTAGTTTTCCGAAACAGAAAAAAACAGGACTAACGCGCGAGTGAAAGAGTAATTTCACCGATGGCATTAGCGTTAATGGTGATTACATGCCAGGAGATCTCGTGTATTTGCCGTGTATATGCCTCCACTTTCTTGTCAAGTAATATTGGCATATTTCAGCAAGTGTGCGCCAAGAGTTCGCGTGCTCGGCCGGTTTTCTAATGGTGTTTATGAGATCGAATAAATTTTAATGGTATAAATATATTAGCTGTTCGCGATCTCGCTCGGATCATTGTGCTGAATTTCAGAAATTGTGTGTCAATTATTATTGTACGAGCAATGCGAACAGCAACTTTGTGTGTTACGAAGATTGAGAGCGCGTAAATTTCAAGTTTTAGGTGAGTTTCATGTTGTATTATAATTCAGCTAAAAACATTGAAAAGCACATGCGTTGTTTTGATGTTTATCAGCTGCTATTCAATAAGATGCAGTAATTTATTATATGTGTTCATTTATCACTCTATTATATAGTAGGTGTAAGTAGACAATAAATAACTTTATAAAACATGAGCAAGTGAGAATATTGCACGTTAAATATGATGAAGTCAACTGAATAGAAAATCACAGCTGAAAGCCTTCTCTTCTTATTCATCACATATGAATTGTTTGATTTCTACAGAATTAGTCGTCGGAAGAAGCCTGTGGATGGCGCCGGTTCCATCGTGTTTAATCGACCAAGAAATGATTTTCTGATTATTATATTATTAAAATGTACATTTGATATGGTTTGTTCACTTTTTCAAATGAGGGACAAATCTCTAATCATAAAAACTCTAATCGAGTTTTGTTTGAAAGAAAGTTTATCTATTTATTGTATATCGAAATCAGATTGCATAAGCTTTTTGAAATCAAACACTGATATTATGAAACGAGTCTTGTTATATTCCAAAAAATATTCGAGCATGATTATGTACGTAGTTGAAAGCAATGTGATAAATCATTTTTATGAAAAGTAATATGAGGCCAAAATCGTTGTTTAGTTTATCATACTTTGGCGTTGTATAATTGTGATAAATAAAATACTTTCAATGCTTACACATAATCAGTAAGAAACAGCCAACATCTTAAAGGATGCAAAACATAAGCGGCGAGACATGAGTTGAAGCGTGATGGCACAAAGACGAGTTTTTCAACAGTACAATGAAACACGCGGCACTGATTTCATCACTGAAAAAACTAGTCCAACACGATCGATTGACAGCGCTCGAGAGTAGTTTCAACAGACAGATTGGAAACTACACTACGCAATAAACTCCAGTTGATTAATTTTGACCTCACAGAATGTCACGAATCCGTTTGAAAACGATGCGATTCCCTTCGAGCGAGTTGCACAAAATGAGTTTTCACTGATAACGATGAAAATCGGCACTGTTTAACGTCCACGATCGGCGATCACTCGAGGCTTTAGCCGCCGATTCACTTACTCTCGACACTGACACTAAGAGCCGTCGATCGGGCTACAGGCGGCTGGTCGCTGATCATCGACAAAACGATCGCACGCGCACATCGGTTGTAGCGTCGGCCGAGCCTCGAGCGCCACAATCGTCAGAGTTCCTAATCACTCGCAGACCAAAAGTCATTGGACTCGTGATGGGTTTTTTTTTTTTAAAGATAATTTACCACCGATACGCTCTCGCCTGTTATCATTAACGATCGGTCGATCGAGGGAGAGGTTAGGTTCACCACGCGCGCTACCGATATAGCCTCTCTCTCTCTCTCTCTCGCTCGCAGAGCCTCGTGTAGCGCAATCGTCGACTGCGGCTTTAAAACTGTCTCGCGCTGGGACAGTCACCTTTGGCGCGCGCACGCCGGGCTCTCGGTATAAAGGAGGTGGTTCGCACTGCAGGCGAGCGCCGCGAGACCTCGATCTCGCCAGTAGCGAGGAAAAAGAAAGAGAGAGAGAGAGAGAGAGCGCAGGAACGAGCTCGATCGCGTAGAGAGAGGGTAGCCGAGCCCGACGGGTGACAGGCCGCGCGACTGCCTATCTCCGCGGTATATAGCCATCGACCTCGAGACTCGGACGAGCTTGTTCCGGCGCTTGTGCTTCACCGACGGGGGGCGGGCGGCCGACTCGAGCTACTTCGTGGAGGCCCTGCCTACGGTCCGCAGACTCCGCCCATCGGCACATTCATCAAGTCGACGCGACGACGTGTATACCGATCTTTTGCTCCTTTACCATCGATGGAATACCCCGAGACAGCAGCGCGAGGATACAGCTATATAGGACGGCGCGCCGCGCGCTCGTTTGCTCCGCGGCGCGGTACTCATTTTTTTACCTCGAGCTCTGGGAGGTCGCATTGTTGCTCCGTGCGCAGCGGCTGATTATTTTCCCTGAAAGTTTTGCATTCCGCAGCGGTGTGGCTTTCATGCTTTGTTTTACTTGCTGCTCTCACAATGTGTCCAGGCGCGCTATTCTAATAATGAATTCAACTGCTTGTAAAATTTTAATACAACTACCATTGCCGTTATTCATAAGTACGGATGTATGAAAAGTAAATTCGACTTTAATGCAGGTGTCTCTTTTGGGCATAATTGCAACAATATCATAAATTGATTTATAAATGTTAAATTCAAGTTAATAATATTTTGAAAACATATTCATGGTGATTTCTTATTTTATGGTTCATTATTATCATAAAGCACATTTGTGGAGTATAAACTCTCGCTACTCCAATCAAACTAAATCCCATACTATTTCTTAATAACTTTTTGTTTAAAACTATCAAGTTTGAATATAATTAGCTGATCAATGTTTAATCAAATGATTCTATCAGAAACTCATCACAAATTTCAATCAAATAGTTATTCACAGATGTAGTAATATTTTTTTGAATTCAAAGAAACTTGAGTATATTAATAAATTTCGATAAGAAAAATAAATTGATTTATGTAGTATATTTAAAGGAATGATAGTTATTTATTAATATTTGGTAAAAAAGATGAAAATGTTAAATTTTCAATGTCTTATGCACCATTTACCACGTAATATCGATTCATACAACCCCAACCGAAAATATATATCATCTCAGCTCTGTAGTACCAAAACGAAAATGTTAATTTCTACTTGGGGTTCTAAAAAAATAGTGAACAATCTAAAAAAAAATAATGCCTTAGATCACATATTCATTGGTGCATGTTTGTTGTTTTCCATATTATCTGAGACATTTTCTTATTTACCTGTCTGAGACTTTGTTTTAAATTTTAATTTATATACCCTATCTTATACTAAAAATCGTTTTAATGACTAAAAACCCTTCCTATATTAGGAAACAATACAATAATTAATAGTAGTTAAGGATTTTGGACATCAATACAAAAATTTTCACCTTATTTTATAAAACCTTCTCGATTCAAGAATAGACAAACGCGAACTAAAATTACCATAAATTGTGAATTTAACAACTAACTCATATCCTTCACCCTGGTCTAATGCTCAAAAGATGAATAATTTTTTATAATACATGACCATTAATTGGCAAGTTTATGGCTGTTTTTCTGTTATAAATATGTTAGAAATACAAGCACGCACTGCACGATCTCAAAATAAAAATTTAACTGTTACAAAAAAAGTTAAACTAGATTTTAACCACTTGAAAATGATATCACCTATAATTCCCATGACTAGATGGCGACGTACCTTTATCTATAAATCTGCTAGTGTTAAAGTAAACTTACTTGTATATGTGTAGTAAAATCTAAGTAGTCATCGAACGAGGATAAATAAATGATCCATAAATATAATGTTAATGAATTCATAGTTTATTAATATTCGTCATGTTGTCTTGATTTAACAACTGCGTGGAAAATGAAAGAAAGCAAGGTATACAATTATCAAAGACGCAAGCGCGGGACGCTATCTCGAACATGAATTTTGATCAACTACACCAATGAACGCCATTAATCGAGGATATGAAGCAAAGTGGCGACATCGACTCGCTACGAGGGTGGAAAAAGTCGTTATCGGCGCGTCCGAGCTCTACCACCGCACTTATCTTAATTCCGGCGGCAGAATTTTTAAATCGCCTCTACGTATAAATGTATAGGCGCAGTACGAGCGCTCTCGGCTCGAATTATGAATCGAGCCCATACGCGGCCCCGCAGCCAATTAAGTGCGTTTAATTTTGCAATAAATACCAAGCGCGAAGCTGCGCGCAAAGACGCGCGCGTCGGTATCGAATCTCGACTTTGCCGGCTATGGCAACTGACACAGGGAGAGAGACTCGGGGTAGCTTACCAATGAGTTATTATCGCTATAACTATAACTGGGGAGGGGGAGCAAATTCTCGGGGTCTGGCGCACACACGCCCGAGAGATCGTGAATTTTATATGTGCAACAGGCGGGAGCGGCTTTTGTTGTCTGTACCGATGCTTTTGCTACCGCCTCTTCTTTCAATCGAGAGCTGATGCTTAATTGCTCGTTCATTAAGTTACGAATACTTACGTTGGCTAGACTTTATCATCGACCGACGCATACTTCGCCTGTGCTACATAATTACATATAAACACGCACGAGAGAGAGAGAGAGAGAGAGAGAGAGATCCGATAAGTTTCTGCATGCGGTTAGTGTGCAAAGATGAGCTTTTTTCTCGTTTCTCTGCTTTTGCTACTGCGGTAAAAACTGTCTCCGAGAACGAGTTTCGATGCAGACATGAACCTTTTTTTATTTAAAACTAATTTAAAGTAAAATATTCAAAGTAAAGTAATTTTTCCCAAATTATCATGGGGTTTAGTATCGAAATTGTCTTTTAATTAATAATATCTATATCACTTTCATGCCTTTTCTTGAATAAATTTTTCGTAATACACAGTAGGCACTTTCACGCGCTATAAATATGAATATATGAAAATAATCTTGCTAGGTTTTCGATAATATTATATTTTTAAAATAGTATTAACAATTACATGTTGAGGTTTATTATTTTGTATGCTTTTTAATGAAATTATTTCTCACATTTTATTCATAAGTTTTTAATTAAAATATCCATTTATGTATTGAAGCATGCGCTGAAAATCATCATTCATACAATTTACATTCCAAATTTTCAATATGAGAGAATTTATTCATGTACTTGTGGTTCAAATCTTTACATCACAAACTTGATTGAAATCGAAATGAAAAACTGAAAAACCTCACCTGATATTTTATTTGCACTATGAAATGAATTTTCTTTTCTTTTTTTATGATTTGTTTTTTAACATTAGACTTTGATCTACATTTCATTTAATAATTATAGTGAAAAGGTCTGATCATGTTTTAACATAAAAGAAACTGAACTCTTGGTTATCGTTTTAGATTACATATTTTTTCAACTTATGTCTTACTTATTTTAATATACAAGTTAATTTTTGAACAGATTTTCGTAAAAATATTCTTATATATCAAAGTAAAATATTAAAATATGATTTGATTTACTGCATCTTAAATGATTCGCCTCAGAAATCATATAAATGGGCAAATTTTACATTATTTCACTTAGAAGTTTACACAAATCAATTGTTTATTATTGTTATTAAATGAATAATACCAGCATTAACTATATTTTATAATCGTTCAAATTTGAACCTTATAAAATTTTATTTAATTTACACATTTTCAATCTTTACACCTACTTCGAACTTTACAATTTGAAGATATATTTTTTGGAGTGGACTACTGAGTTTTAAAAATACAATCTGCTATATCAGATACAATTATCTATACTTGAATGTGTGCAAAATTGTCACTAGTCACGCCGTATTGTTCGTAAAGCCCTGCTTCAAATATCTCAGCTTCTCTTTGTTCTGGGTCCGTAATATTAGCCAATGTATCAATTTCATCTTCTTCCACCTTTTTAAAAAAATGCATAAAGTATTATATAAATAAAAATTACATAAAATAATATCAAGTCATTTTTTCAAAATAAAAAATAGAACTTTACACTATTTTATATTATTTAAAGCAATACTATGTACACCATGGTAATATTTCAAAACGAAAGAGTTGAAGAAACTATTTTACAATTTTTCATGTTACTTTTTGAAAATTCTACAACTAAAATAAACATTTTCGTCTCGATTACGTGATCGAAAATGTTAATTTTAGATAGGACGTCATGAAAAACTGAATCCACTAAATGTATACTTTTATTAGCATAATTAATTTTTTGATAAAAAAAATTTGTTTTACCTCATTGGTATTTGTAGCGTAGTAAACCACATTTACTGATGTTTCTTCCAAAGCTAATATTTCATCAAGTTTTTGTAAATACTTTTTCACCGGTAGCAAACTGTTATTCTGTTCACTATCTATTCCCAAATTAATTAATAATCCGTGCAGTCCATCTTTCTTCCTTTTTTGCAACAATTTCAGGACAGCGTCATTTTTCGCTTCACTTTCCTTAGAAACCATTTTCATTTTTAATGTAGATGTTACATTGACGGATGAACATACTAAAAATAGACTAAGTTCTGGACAAGATGTTCTTGATTCCATATCTACGATTTGAGTAATCGCATCACTGGTAGATTCTTTTGTTTTAATTCGGGTATCCATTCTTCGTAGATCAATGATGCCATCAATCGGTCCTAACGAATTGGCTTCTTTAATCAAACCTTTTATATTTTGCGGCTGGGAAGTATCAATATCTTTCCGCAAAATGATTTTCACACCGTAGCTTTGCCACAAATTCAAACGCAAGGTCTCATATCCGTTTGCAGTACCTGATGAACTAGCAATCACAAAACGCCTAGCTCCTCTGACAATGAGCAAATCAATTAGCTCTAAACTGAAAGTACTTAAACCTTCAAGGACCAAATAAGATTTGACGCTTGAAAATCCATGACGTGGAATTGCTACAGCTTCTTTGCTCTTATCGTCTGGTTGAACTTTTACAATAATCTGAAATGATAGTCAAAAATAAAAATGTGAGAAATTTGAATTTGACAAAAAGTAAATAAATCGGATTAAACCCAAATCAACGTTTCATCGCGTCAATTTGATGAGCTTATTATGTTATTAAAATTCGTATAGCTTATTAATTTCATTTTAAAGAAGCTTACAACATAATTTGTAATAACTTACTTTTCCGTTGCTATTTTTTAGCAGTTCGTTGTAAGCTTGAGTCAATGATTCCCTTGCATATACAGTTCTAGCCAAAGGTTTTACAGAACCACTATTTATACCTTGTCTTACGAGATCCGATATGGTTTTTTTAGAAGCTTTGTCGGATGTAAGTATGCGTTTCGGTACAACTGAGTACAAACTGATTTCTCTCAAAAATATTTCCATTCCAATGCTTTGATGAATTTTATCCTCGCTCAGATCACTGATTAAGATAACTCTACCATTGTGTTTCGTCATCGTGAAGAAAACTTCCAGTGACTTAATTTCACCTTGATTACAGATAACAACATCAACTCCCTTGCCCGATGTTGCCAGTAAAACGTCATCGCGGAAACTGTTTCTCCATAATTTGAGAAGTCTATTGTTGGGTAGTTTAGGAGCAACAGAGAGGATTAGTTTCTTTTCAATTTCAGTGTTGTACGTGACGAAAACATCGCATTTGCTGTCAACAGCTAACTGAAGTAACGCTAATCCAATTCCATCACAAACATTAGTTAGCATAACTTTTTCGTCTTTTTTCACTTCAGCTTTTACTTTAAGAGCAGAGTAAGCAAGTACGTAAGATAATGGTACTGTTGCCGCATCTTCAAGGCTCCAAGATTTTGGTACTTCCCACATCAAGTCAGGATCGGCAGAAACGATGTTAGACATAGCATTTCCACAGCAAACGCCCATAACTCTGTTCCCTTTACTGTCTAGTCCTGAATATTCAAGTCCCGGGCTAATCTTATTCAATCTATTTTGACCCACCATTTCTGAGGTATCAGCATAGAAGTTTTCATGAACAATAAGTATGTCCTGTGAATTCAAAGCTGCATATTCTACTTTCACAGGATTTACGATATTTTCATGAATCGAACCTCCAACCCAGGCAATGCTATTCGGATCGTGAGAATGTTTTTTATCTGCCTTCCAAAATTTACACATTTGAGGATTGAGCTCAACATTCATTTGACGCAATGTAGCCCACAATTTTTTTTGCGTCAACAAATTTATTAACAAGTCCAACTCCAATTGTTTTGTATAAAATTCCTCAGTGAATATTTTTTCAGAAACTTTTGGCTCTTCTATGCCGTAAATTCTGACTTTTTCCAAGCTTGATTGATTTTTGATCTGTTCGACAAGATCTAAGATGTGAGTATGATTCTTTGTATTTGAAAGAATAACAATTCGTTCATCAGAAGCAGCTAACTTGGTATTTTTAATTTTCTTCACGACTTCATCAACATTGTTGGTAGCATTCAAAATGTGAACTTTTTTGAAAGATTGCTTCTTTTTCAATAATATAAGAGTTATATTTGTAATGTTCCTCGTGAAAACCACTCCAAGACCCAAAGAGTTTGCAGTTTTGGTAAACATATCAGCCTCTTTATTTTCAACAAATACAAGTAAAAATTTGCCATTACTAAGTTTTCGAGCAACTTCTTGGATGTCATGTTGTTTAATATCGTCTAGGACTGTCAATGCTTTATTAAATGTTGCCTCATCGTAAGAAATTATTTCGGTAGTAAATGATGACGCTTCTGGAATATCAAACATGGCAGAGCTATAAAATTTCCAGTTTTGATGATTATCAGTTGCAACTATCTGAATTCGTTGCAACTTGATTGAAAATATATTTTCCAGGATTATTTGAAGTATTAATCTTAAGCTTGTGGATAAACTTAAATCAGATCTATCCTTGTTAGGAATGATGCTCAATTCATCAGTGCCAACTTGATTTTGTTCCAAACTCTTGGGAATATCCGAAAATTTAACCCCTTGCATTTCCAAACCTCCTACGCATAAGTAGTTCACTTTTCTATCAACGATGGCATGCATTTCTAAAAATAAATTCAACACAGAATTTGAATATAATATAAAAGTAAAATTTAATAATAACAAAAGAAAAAATAACTCACCGACTGAATTCTGCGCTGTATCTTCTTGTAGTTTATGATCAATTACAATTCTTCGAATCGTAAGGGGCATTTGCGGTTTACGCGAATCATTGCCAAATGAAAATAGTTGCAGAGCATTATCGATGAATGTAAGCCAGTTGTCATTCCACTTTATCAAAGCATTGTTACCATCAATGGTTGCTTTTGAAACATTCTTAAATTCGTCTGGATATTCAGCCCCGCGCATTGACATTTCTTGGTAAAAATCAACCTTCGTAAGCTCATACTTTGGCTCCGTTTTTTTAGAATGTAACAAGCCTAATCTATCTTGACTTGGCGCTTTGGTTTCTTTGACTGTTCCAGAAATTAATAAAGTTTCATTTTCAGATACCTCAAAATTGCCAGTGCCTAAAAATCAAAAGTAAAAATTTTTAATATCTTTCTTAATTTAACAAATCAATTAAATTATAAGAAATAGCTGTTAATTTTACCTTTAGCGACCATTACATTTAGCTTAATTGAATTATCTACGACCACAGTAAGTACATTGTGAATTTTAATGTCTTCAAAAACAATATCAAGAACTTGTTCTTTATCAAAACTTTGTAAAATTTCCCATGCATGTACTAAACATTTTGAAACTGGTACAGGAATTTTGCCGTTGACAACAGTTGGCAACAAGTGCTGATTTTCTGGCTCGAGCAAATTAATTTCAAGTACTTTTTCACCTTCTCTGATAGGTTCTTTCGATTCATAGTAATTGACCAACCTGTTGAGATTCGGTGATTTCAATTGTTGATGCAATTAAAAATAAATTTAAAAGAATATAAAATTTACCAATCAGTTGTATGATCCCATCTGATGAGAGAAGATATTGAAGGTGTTCCTCGTCCCACTGGATATGAAACTTTCGGATATAAATTGGAAATCTGAGGTTGCATGCCAACATTGTACATTTTTCCCAGAGCGGTAAGCAACACTTCTAAATTATCTGGATGACCCCTTCGTGTCAAAGCAATATTTATGCATGTTTCTGGTAATGATCTTTTTAAGATAGCTTGTAATAAGCCATGAGGAGCAATTTCTATGCAAACGGCATTCGCTGGTATTACACGAGAAGATTCTTCAAATAAAACTGGACTTAAAAGATTGTTAGTATGGTATTCAGCTGAACACAGTCTGGCTTTCAAGGTATTCCATTCGCTTTGTGGTACCGAAGTACTGATCCACTTAGAACTACGTGGATTAGGTTTAGGAATGACTTTTTGCAAACGTTCCAAGAGCTTAGGACCAGCTGCCGCAATATAACGACTGTGATAAGCAATGTTACTGCAAGGTACTTCTCGAGCGAAAATTCCTTTAGCCTTTAAAATGAATTTAAACGTACGATCAAATATATTTTCAGAAATAATAATTATTTATACAATAGAAACCATCGCTTACCGTCAAGTCTGCCACAAACTTTTTCATGGACTCAGCTGGTCCACTAATGGTTGTGCTTTCTGGCCCGTTGTGACATGCCACATCAATATCTGGAGGGCACAACGGCTTGACCTGATCAAAACCAAGACCAACTGCAGCCATTGAGCCTTTTTGCAAATTGCTCTCCGTAGAAGCTAAGCCGCGAGACAAAGCTGCTAGAACCATTTGTTCAGCAGTAAAACAACCATCAGCGTAGGCACAACCAAGTTCTCCCACGGAGTGTCCAATAATAAAGTCAGGTTCAAGACCCACTGCTTTCAAAACATCTACAAGACCGATCTGAAAAAATATTTCTATGATTACAGCTGATTTTACAGCCCCATCTGAGCGAAACTTCCCGTAATTTATTGAAATCAAAGAATGACAATATTGTAGGTAAAACTATTTATTACCTGAATAGCTGCGATGCCAACAAATGAGTTGATAATGTGATCAAACATCTTTGGATCTTTTTCAGTAATAATCCTGAATATATCATAACCAAGTGGCTTCAAAACTGCATCACATTTTCTAATGGCGGCTTCGAATATTGGTAATTTCAATAGAGCTTCACCTGAAATTTTTACAGAAAAATTTTTTATAAATAACAATATAGTTGCAATCATTTAAAAAAGTGTAAAGCTTACCCATTCCAACCCATTGAGAGCCCATTCCTGAAAACACCCACCAAATCTCTTTATTTTCTCCAGTATTAAAGAGAATCTCGCGTTTTTTAGTTTCTGGTGCAAGCATTTCTTTAGCTGGAACTACCGTGAATCCTCTGAACAAATGCGCATTAATTTCAGATTGGAAAATGTCATACATCATTTGTAATAACTCAACATCTACTGGTCTACCCTCGACCTAAAAAAGGTATGCATCATTTTTTCTTAAAATATATTTCTTTAATTTATTAAAAAAATGATTAACTAATTTATACTACGTGAAATTTTAAAATAACAATGATCATTTCATAAGTATTTATGTTTAGATAAAATCTACTTACAAAATCAAGCATAGTTGCTATTGCTTCTTCTGTCCTGCCCGATACTATCACTAGCCTCGGAATATCATCTTCTGGGACTCCATCATTTTTCTTTTCAATATTTGGAGATTTTAAAAGAACGTTTGAAAAAACTCCTACTGTAGACGTCGTATTGATTGAACTGTATTGCCCAGTCCATGGAGTTAATTCCGTTACAACTTCCTGTCTACCCGCCTGTAAACCAGCAGCTTGAGAATTCGGTTCTTCGTAATGCAAATTTGGAGGAATCTGTCCAGTTTCAGATGCTACAATCATCTAAATATAAATTTCGATAATTATTATACAATGTTTTTCGTAAAAACAAAATTATTTAGTAGATATATAATTTACTCATTGAACTTATCATAAAAAATTGTATACGCACTTTTACAATTGAATTAATTGTACCCGTACAAATGGCATTTCCTATATTAGACTTTATTGATCCAATAAGTAAAGGCTTCTTCCTTTTTCCATACACTCTATCAATTGCTTCTAACTCTTCAGTGTCTTGTTTTTTTATAGCCACTCCACTAGCTTCCAAGAAATCTATATCATCAGGTTTTAAGCCACTTTCATTGAGAAGATCTTGCATAACTTGTACTTGCGATTCCATTGTAGGGTACATAATTTCATTCAAATTGTTGCAATCTGAATGAATAGCTCTTGCATGAATTACTTCTTGATATATGCGTTTTGAATCGGTCATTCTTTGCAAAAATAAAACTGCCACGCCATCACTGCGCGTGTGACCTCCAGCATTATCATCAAAACTCCTCGTAAATCCATCGGTAGAAAGCAATCCTTCAAGTGCATAAAGTTTATTAATTTCGATTAATTCGAAAGGACGGTGATGATAAAATACAATTGCAACTTTTTAAAAAGTTACATTTGTTCTATTTTTTAAACATAGAAGTGAATTTTTGGTAACATTAAATATTAAAAAAATCATGAAAAATCGAAAGTTATCTTTGCCAATAAACATAACTGCTATTGTTAATTAAAATGAATTTTGCACTAAAGGTCGTACCACGAGGTACCAATTAAAAGATGAAAGTTAATGACCCTTTGTTCAGCCGGTCTCTTGCCGTTTTTTACTTTTTCACACAAATTGAGCACTAATATTTCATAGTATGAGAGCCTTAAAATAGTTTATGGCACGCTAACCTAAAAATCGCAACTTTGCCGCCACTTTTAGGCTTTTGTACCATAAAATATTGTATGCAACTGATACGGATATGCTTTTCCAACGAAACTCGTTACAGCCCTCGCCTTCGGCTCGTGCTGCAACCCCTCGTTTCGCTGAAAAAGTATATCCGTACCCGTTGCATAAAGTACTAATAGATAATTTGTGATTAATAGAATAGTAAACTAAAGAATTCATTAACTAGTTTCTTAAAAAAGAGTATTTGCACTTAATAAATAAATTACAAAAAAATTAAACTTTAAGATTTTGAAGATTAAATAAAAAATCGTTCGATAATGAAACTTTTTGTAACTTTAACAATAAATACTTTTCTAAGTATTGAAAAAGCTTATTGGTAATACACCATCTACAGTTTTTTTAAAATAGTTATACCCGCCATATACAATATACTTCACCTAAAGCGCGTAATTGATAAGATATGTGAGGATGCAAGTTGAGAATTGATCCAGCTACAATAGCACCATCAATACGGCCGTTTTTAATTGCATGATAAGCTCGTTCCAATGCTGCACCTGAACCAGCGTCACCACTGTCAATGTTAACGCTTGGACCAACCAGTCCTAAGAAGAAGGAAATTCGATTTGGTACCATAGCTTTACTACTTCCCATAATACCAAAACCATCGTGCTGTAACGGTAATTAAATTATAAATATTTAGTTAAAAAATAAAAGCTATTATTAACCAACCTGCACTTTGTGATGAAATACTGTCTTTTCAGACTCTGATAAATTAGTTGCTGTATATACACCAATATTAGCTCCTCTCAAGTGTCGAGGATTGACTCCAGCATCCATAATAGCCTCAAAACTATGTTCTAACAACAGCCTTGACATAGGATCCATGATGGCGCATAATTTAGTATGAACTCCAAAAAAAACGCGATCAAACTTCTCAATGTTATTACATTTTCCCAATCTTTGTGGAATTTTAGGTGAATCTGTGAATAAAAATTTGATAATTCGGTTAAAATAAATTATTAGAATTGTCCCAAATACTTTTAAATAATTTGAAATCTTTAATATATTTCAATTCTTGAATTTACAAAAATTTAAGTTAGAATCGTTATTACTTTTGAATGATTGAGAGAATTATTAGTTTCCAATGATTAAACATTTAAAAAAGTAATCGATTCCATAACTTTACGCTACCATTGTCATTTTCCAATAAAAATTAATTTTTTATTCATGTATAACTGAAAAACGAAATTTTTCTGATTGTTCACCACTGAATTGATTTCTTTTCAAACAATGTTAATTTATGCAATCAACACGAAGAATATATAATTTCATGATACACTTCACTATGTAAATTTTGAATGACACTGAAAAAAAGTTGATATCTTTTGCAAGGAAAATTAAATTTCTCACGAGTTTATAAAACCTTTTTTTCTACGATTTCAATTGATATTCTCATTTCAGATAAAAAAATGTACGAAAGTACTGTCATAGTATTTTACTGTTGCTTGAATAAATGAGACTTGTTATTCATACGCTTGCGACGGATGCGTATCAAAACTAGTGATTTCTTTAGTTTTATAAAATATCAAGTATTTGCAGAAATAGTAGTCCCTAAAAAATTATGCACATTTTGGTCATAGAAATTCTATTGAAAATAATTAATCAATGGAAACTTCAGTTCCTTGAACATTTTTTTTACTCTTATCAAACATTCAAATTGCAAATTAAAATTTAATTTACAAGTTATGAAAATTTAATTTTATTGCATGGAAACTCATGTTGTATATTGAATTAGATGTGAGTGCTTGGATTTCTTTATTTTTTTTAATTTTCACACATAAATTCACGGCACTTTATTGTCATTTACACTAATTCATGCACTTCAACTTTTAAGTAACGCTTTAGTTACCAAATTCCCATCGTCCATGTTCGGTGGTGGTGCAGTCAACTTGATTCAATAAATTATTTTGTAGTTCGGTAACATTATCAGAATTTGGAAAACGTCCGGCAACTCCAGATATTACTACCCTGTGGCCCGTCATTTTCACTTCTCGATTATTAATCTAGCCTTAGCCTGTTAGTTGGAAAGTAGCTAGAACTTTTGGCCTTTAAACTTTTCGTCGCCTATTCTATAAATTGCTCTTATTTTTAGGCCGAACGTTTCTTGCAAGTAGTTGAATCGTGACTGACGCAAACTAACAATGAAATTCACAGACAACGAAGGTGAGTTATCATAGCGGAGATTGGGAGAGGGTAATTATGAGCGAACGTGCGTATTTGCATGAAAATGAAAAATTTACTTTGATTATAGACTCATGTCTATTGAACGGAATCATTCGGTTTTTCAGTTGCTATCCGTCGTTTTGATAACTTTATGCGATTGTCCATTCGTAGTTTGTACCGAAATTTCAATGAAATTTTTTGTCAATTAATTAGCCTTCATTATTAAATTTGTGAATGCCTCAGATGTGTTCGATAGGTTTTTTCCATTATAATGCTGTGCCAGAAACTCATCGTCGGTATACTTTCAATCGATAGAATACCATCAAATTTATCAAATGTAATACAATAGAATTGTTTAATTAAATAGTTACACATTTTAGCGAAAGACTCACAGAATTGTGTTTGAAATCAATTAAAAGTCTTAAAATAATATTGCGCAAATATTTGCACCATTTTCAGTAAATGCATTTACTGAATTCAGATCTCAGTTTCCGCTTGAAATGTACAAAACTTCCTCCTGTATAATAATGGATAATGTGTCTTTCATAGTTTTTACACGTACAACATTGTCTAAGTCATAGCTTATATGTAAATTAGTACATCGACCTTTAAAAATTCTGCTTCTAGCTTGGCATAATTTACATATGTTTATATTCCAAAAAAACTTTTTCGATATTTCTGTATAAACGTGTTTTGACCATGTTAAAATTCAATTTGAATTTGAACTTTGATTTGAAAATACAATTTTAACGTAAATCGAAAAGTGAGTAAAATCAGAAGAACTTAAAAAAATCTCCTACAATGATTGCATTAGAATACGCAAAGTTATAAAATAAGTATATAATTTAAGTTTATTTAATGTATATAATTAATTTTTTATTTGAACGAAGTGCTATGCGCGTGCAAATTAAAATTTCAATAATTTCTGATGGGCAAATATTTTACTGTATCCATTTATTATAGTTAAAAAAAGTGTTTGTTTCCCTTTCTTTCTTATTCGCTCGGAGAAACGAAATTGCCTGATAAGCAGCTAAAGCCTGGCGCCAAAGTGATGGGTTTGTTAGGTCCAGTTTTTCGTAGTCTCTCTTATGTATACCGAGCACAAAAAGTATATTCTTTACATTTCGATACCTTCGCGTTGACTTTCCGCAAAAAAGAAATTACTTTGCGTGATTCCACGAATGCCATCAAGTTTTAATAAAAGAAATACAAAAGAATCTGATGCGAGGTAAATGTAAAATTCATGAATTATACCTACTTTTCGAAATATCTTCAATGCTCGTATGTGAAACGATGGAGTTACTGCTTTGAATTTGTCACAGAGAGCAAATAAATCGGCAAGAATGTTTCGAGTCAGGCCATAATAAATAATTGATTCAATTACATCTTGTGCAAATATTGGCATCAAATTTTTATTAAAAAAAAATAAATTATAAGCAATTTTCATCATTTTTAAATACCAATACAATTAATTTAACCATTTAATAAGAATAAACTTGTGCTGTATTGAAAGTTCCAATCAAACTTATCAAGGCGATAGCTAACGACAACTTATTTTTAAATTATAAGAGTTTTAAAATCAATTTAAATAATAGTACATATACTATAATAGTACATCAAAGATACATTTTCAAACAGGTTTTAATTTTAATTTTATATGTAAGTCGTTTTTTATTCATTTGTTATTTTCAGATGTACGGGTAATATTTTAATTTGGAACCGATTGGATCGATTGCTATAGTTTCATTTTAACTTTTTTTATGTAGCTACATTTCAATAGTAACATGCAACTGCTAAATAGTGAAGTAGCTCTAGTTTTTAAAACCTGGAGCATAATCAAATAAGTACAAGTATAAATTATTATTTTTCTGTATAATTATAAGTATGATAATACTAGTCAATGACGAAATATATGCAATCCTTGGGAGTAAACGGAAATCCTAATCAATTCGTGTAATCTACATTTTTGTATTGGTTGTTTAAAAGTTTATGTTTTTTTGTATTTGTATTTATATTTGTGTAAAACTTAGAAAAAATTAATATCACTGACTGTTATAAGCTTGTGAATCGTAGTAAGTAGATGATCGCTAAAAAAATGAAGAGTAGAATGAAAAAGAGAACGACTAACATGGAATGGCCCTTAGCTCGCTACGATAGTTCTTTCATCGTGACTCTTTAAGCTGATGAACTTGTCTGGCTCCTCTCATTCATTTATTCCTTTTTACACATTCCCTTCTTCAATATTTTTAATTAATTCTTTTTATTTATTTGTACTAATAATATTTTTTATGCGTCAAAAGCAAACAATATTTCAGCTCTTGTTGGCCAATTTGAAAGGATAAAATTATTTTATATTATTCAAAATTATTCATAATATTGAAACAACGAATTATCTGCGTAAAATAGAATGATTTTAAAAAACCAAATACAATAATTAAATTATTCGATGCATAAATTAAAAATGAGCTAAATTTTTTAAAAATTTGAAAAAGTAAAATTATTTGCTATTGCAAAAACTGGCGTACGCATAACCGTTTCGTGGTACAAAAACAGTCTGTACGACAAGTGCTTTATGTTAATCAGGGTCAAAGCTGTTAAAATTCACTCAATGATGTAAGAGGTTTGATCGTTGTCGCTTTTTGAACTCTGCTATCAAAATACGATTATTCTTATAATTAACTAATAATCTATTTAAAATAAAAAATAATTAATTACCATTGAATTATAAAACACACTTTTTTTAATAATCATTTTTATAACAATAATTCGATACTATTTCATTCTGTGAGAAATATCAAAGATTGAGTTTAATAATACAATTATTATTTTTGATGATAAATATTTAAAAAATTTTTTATTTATTTGATTTAACTTTACACAGTTAACAGAAAATTTTACATTAAATCCACTATATTAATGTTAATAATATTGAGAATATTGAGTAATTTTTTTTATCACTAATTTTAAAACTAAGTTTTCGCTATACTATTCATAAGATAAATACTTGATAACTTTATTAAAGTTTGTCTACAAGATGAAAATCAACTTGATATTTACTACAGATCCTGCACTATCTTTTATTGGAATTAAAATATTATGGATATTCAACCTATTATTTTATACTCTTCCATTACATGGAAATTCTTTCTATTTTATTTATTTTGTGTTAAAGTCGTCGATTAAATGATTTCACCTAACACACTTTATTCACGTTATAAGTTATTAGTTTTCTTTCGCCAGTTTTTAATCCAATATTCTTTTATTAAATCGCTTCCCTTTTCTGCTATCATGATAGTAACAGGATTGGTTGTACCTCTCGTTATCGATGGCATAATCGAAGCATCAATGACTCTTAGGTTTTTTATGTCATACACTTTCAATGACGGATCCACAACAGCGCCTTTATCATATGCGGGACCCATTTTACAAGTTCCGACGGGATGATAAGATGTATATGTGTACATTCTCGATAAGCACTCAAAATATTCATCACTATCCAAAAGAAAATATTCACATCCTGCTACAGGTACATAAGTACGGAAAATATTATTTTTCCTTAATGCATCCGTATCAGCAAATTTTTTTGCAATTTTTGCACCTTCCACTAAAACTTTGATGTCACTTTCAGTAGTTAAATAATTGGCGTAAATGAGAGGATGACTATTGGTCGGATCGGTTTTGTTCAGAGTCAAATAACCTCTACTAGTAGGAGACATCGCAGCCACATAGACATTGATAGTGTCATAATAGGAAAAAGGATAAAAACTGCAATCATCTGGACTGGAGCAATTATTTGAAACATAAAATACGGCTGATATTTCGATATCTGGAACACCCTCACGGTTTTCATAAGGTGTTTGAACGTAGGCAACCCAATCGATTGCACCGATTCCAGCTATTGGGCCTTCACGAGTCACCATCCAACGTTCTACGTCTTTTTGAATATCAAGCGGGTGCTTGACAGTCGATGTAGATTCATTTAATTTTATTTTTATGACTGGCGTCGTTGTCACGTGGTCTTGAAGATTCTGACCAACTGGCAATTCTTTTATAACACTTATACCTACTTCTTGCAACTCCTTCTTAGGACCGATACCAGATAACATTAGAAGTTTTGGAGATTCTAGAGCACCAGCTGATAGAATGACTTCTTTCTTTGCGTAAACTCTTTTAATTTTACCATCCAATGTTTTAAATTCCACGCCCACTGCGCATTTAGTTTTAGGGTTTATAATAATTTTCGTAACGGACGAATTTGGTTTAATAACAAGATTTCGTCTTCTTCCTCGAATAGGCCTGATAAAAGCATCATTAACACTTTGTCTTGACCCATCGATAGACGTGGACTGTATTCTAGATATCCCAACTTGATATCCAGAGTTGTAGTCGATTTCTTTTAAACCCAATTCTTTTCCTGCCTCAATGAAAAGATCATTTATTTTATCGTGATGAGGAAATCTGTCAACTGTCAAAGGTCCACCAGTGCCATGACTCTCTGCACTATTCACAATAATCTGCAATAAAATAGAATATCAACAACAATGTCAAGTTAAATAAAGTAATTATTATGAAATGTTTGATTTAATTATTTCTTTTTTCATTTCTCATATTTACTTATACAAATATTATCGAGAAGAATCGGATGATTTGAAAGAGATAAATTTAAATTTGGCCAATTACATTTTATCAATGAAAATTTGACGATGCAAATGGTTATAATTATTTGATATCGTAATTTAAATATAATCTGCATTTGAATAAACATATAGCACGTGAATAAAATAATCAAACAATTCAAGTCCTTTCCGGTATACGATAGCCGACTATGATGAAAAAAAATGAACGCACAAATATTATTTTATTAAATTTTGAAAGTTTTAAATACGATTCTTGTTGTAAAGATTATAAATTACGCATTTGATAAGGTAATTCAAACATTAAAATTCAAATAATTAATATGCAAAAATATTATCCTGACCTTTGGTTCTCTCAAATCTTCTGATTTCTTAAAATAAGGTAGAACTTCATCATAGCTCCATCCTTCGTTTCCAGCATCAGCCCAATCATCATAATCTTGTCTAGAACCGCGATTGTACCACATAAAATTTGTCGTACTACTGCCTCCCATTACTTTACCCCGAGGCCAGTAGCAAGAATTATTTTCAAAAGCTTTACACGCAGCTGGTTCAGGTTGTGTGTTATAATTATAATCTATTGAACTTTTGAACATCAATGGTATCATAGCCGGCATTTGACTTATTAATGGCTGTTCGTCACCAGCCTCCAACAATAATATCTATAGAAAAAAAATTATTTTAATTTCCAAAATAAATCTTACACAAACGAAATGATTATTCAATTTTAAAATCTACTATCGTACCTTCCATCGTTTGATTTCACTCAAACGATTAGCCAAAACACATCCGGCTGATCCTGCACCCACAATAATGAAGTCATACCCGTCGACACTATCTGGAACTTCATTTTTATAACTTGGTTTACTTGCATATTGTAACAAAAACGACAAAAAAGTTAAAAATGTCGATGGACAAGCATATTCTGTATATCTAGTGCTGCAAGTCACTATATCAATATCAGGTGTCCAAGTCATTTTAACAAAAGAAATTACTTGTAAAGTACGCACATCACTGTTTATATATAAAATTTAAAGAGCAAAATAGTTTATAAGAAGGGTGTTTCAACCTTTATAAGAATCGGTATACTTCACTTGTGAAGTACGTACAAGAAAGTAAGTGTACAGATGGTGCGATAATTTTATCTTATCGTTGTGTTATTGACAGAAATTTCATCTTAAAACAAAGGAAAATAACGTATTAAGATCATAATACATGTTACGTGAAATATTAATGATTATTGACTGATTAACCTTTGATTCTATCTTAGTTCTTTGCAACAAGTGGAATAACCCTGAGAATAAACTCCTATTTTTTACACATTTATAATTACACGAGAAGGTGCTCTAACAAAAGAACTTGTTTAAGGTAAGAATTTCTCGAAAATAGATGTTTTCCAACTCAAACAAATCATTAGTGGATCCATCAATTTCAACAATTTCGAACAAGAAAATTCAAACAGGTGATTATAAAATGTTGTTAATAAATTTTTGAAAAGTCATTTTGACATCACAGCCTTATAAAAAAAAGTTTATTTACAATAACATCACTGATATCAATTTTGGTTAAATATACTGTAGATAACGTAAAATGATTCGTATCCTCTTCACTTGACGTATCGTCTGTATTTTCTATACTATTTAATCAGTACTATTTGATTCTCATTGCAAATTTGCTGCATGAAATTTAAATATTAACCATCCCCATTCTCGAAAAAAACTAATTACACTATTATTGGAGGTAAAAACATTGGTTATTTAACGTCACTCATACTATGAGCTTGGAAATGCGATGATTTAAAATTACTTTTTGAGTTAAATGCATTATTTTATTAAATAAAATCATTAAAAAAAAATCACGAGACACGAACCAATTTAAAATGATTACTGTTATAAGTATTATTTAAAAGTATTTTTAACGTTACTGGCGTAAAAATTCTGCTGATTTCAAACTTAAATTTTTGAAATTTCGAAAGCTAAAAAGATTACTCATTTTCACCTACGTTCATATTGAAATATTTTAAACTCCTCTTGCATCACCTGGTTTTTTTGTTATAAATATGATTTTAGTATATGAGTACTAGACACATTCTTAATCAATCAGATTGATCTTGAAGACTATTTACAATAACTTATCACTGGAAAAATATTACATGAATGCTTATACATGCAGTGATAAAATTTCCTTTTATAAGCTTTATTTGTGCAGAATATATTAGGAAGTTTACACTGAGACAACGAAATTTTCCTTATAGATATTTAATGTACGAATAATGCTAATATTAATATAAAAAAGAAAGCCTATTTATAAATATTTTTGTTCAGAAATAAATATGAATTTTACATCGTTTGACACGCGATTGATGAAATAACAAAACTAAGTTTCTTTCGGCTAAAATAAAAAAAAAGTGACAATATTGTTTTTCCAATTAATGTTTATAATAAAAAATTTAATTTTATAGTTATAAAACTTTTCTCATCTTTAAAAGACTTAATTTGCAACTAAAATTTTAAATAATTTTTTCAATAGTTTGTTTTTTTGCCGTAAGATGTCCATATCATATAACGAAGTATATATTGTATATGATCAACTTGAACTCATAACTTCATTTTCTACCTTACCGATTGCGGCAGATGGTAAATAATTATGGTCAGACGGTTATGTACCACACATCAAAGTCGGTAAAAAAGATCGCGGTCAATACTATTGCTTCGTGCCAATTTAATAAAGAGTGTTGAATTGAAAAATATAAATTTATGTAAAAAGTGTTCTTTTCAAATTAAAAGTTTCTAATATGAAATCAACTTTAAGATAGTGTACTTGAATAGAATGTCATGAAACTGGTCAAATGTTCAAATATATGTGACTCGAAAATATTTCTGAACTTTAGGTTGATTTTTGATATTGGACTTGGACCAGCTTTACCTCGCCATACTAATTTATTAGTATATTTATAAAAAAAAAATTAAGAATTATTCAAAAATCTTGTTAGAAAGAAAGTATGCATTCAAATAGGAAATTTTCTCATTGTAATTATCTGTCGATCATTTATTTCATAAATGCCCTAGCAAGAAATACGCGTCACAAGTAGCGTGCAGAATTGTACATCTCTTACGTTCAGATAAGAACAAAGCAGCATGAATGGGCACACGTATTATCGAGCGTGACTCTGTATGAGTATTTGCACGAACAAGCAAGCGCGATACTGTATGAATGCTTACACGTGCAGAGCGGCTCGCGCTTGTGTGCAGCATGCATGACTTGCGCTTGCGACCACTCCACAAAATCGCGATACTTCTGCCATAAGGCATGCGATTTAATGATCGGCCCGGGCAATAAGTAACACCCGAATGCCGGCGAAGGTCGAGTCCCGAGTTACACCGATGCTCGGGCAGGCGAACTAGACAATTAGGAAAATGACCCAAGCATCCGCTAAAACAGCAGCGCGTGTGTTGTTTATGGGCTCCGCAAAATCGACCGGATGCGAAAATTCTCAGACCTCGAGCTCGGGAGGACATAAGTCAATGGCAGTCCCCGCCCGAACAAACGGGTGGCGCAAAGGCAAATCAGTATATATACCGCGACGTGAGGGAGTCTCAGGGAGATCAGTTACTGCTATTGAGTAGAGCGTAGCTCTAGGCAGATCAGTCACGACATTCAAGTAGAGCGAACCTCTGGCCAGCTCGATCGCGAATCTAAACTAGTTTCACAGTGCTCGAGTCCAACGGATCAATATGATTTTTCATGGCACTCTTCCTTGGAAATGACTATACAGCAATTCGTAGCCTAAGTTCTCATTGATGCACGCTTTTGTGGGGTATATAAGTCGAATTTTCTGGCCCCGTGTCACTTGTCATAAGCAAAAGAATTAACTGAGCAATCCTGAAAGCTTCGAATGTTTACAAATATTAAACAGAATTTGTACTAGCAGTTATGGTATAGAAATTTTGTGGGCAGACGTGAGAGATGTATATAGATATAATAGTATTTAAGCTATTAAAAATATGCTCATACAAAAGAAAACTTGTGCAAAAAATTATGCCATCATGAAAAAAACATCATCAAACGCTGCCATAATAACGCAACAAATGAACCTATGAATCTGGCAAGGTATCATTCGTACACCTGAAACTTGTACACGGGCATTTCTGTACCCAAGTAAAATGTGTCCAATATTTGTACACATAATCGAACTTTTTTTTAAATTTAAAAAATTACGATTACGATTATTTTTTTAAATTTTCTGAAATTAAAAAAAAATTTCCATTATGTGTACAAATATTGGACACATTTTACTTGTGTACAGAAATGCCCGTGTACAAGTTTCATGTGTACGAATAATACTTTGCCATGAATCTATACATTTCGATAATTCATTATAATTATTAATTTTTGCGTGCATCCATCGTATCAGTGAAAATTCAAGTATCAATTTTTGTTAAAATCAAATTAAATCTTGTTCTATTCTATTTCTTGTTGTGACTAGTACTTTTGCTTTTCTAAAGAGGAAGCTCTGAAATAGATTTGGTAAGGGTGGGCAACATGCTGCGATAAATGCAAGAAAAAAATTAATAATTTCAAAATTCATTGCCTTAACATATTAATATATTATGTTCGGAAGAATTTTAATCACGTTTTTTTACACTAAAATATTTCATGATATATTGTACATGATTTTCTACTATCTCGATTCTTCGCATATTAAATATTTTCGATTTTCTAGTGCGAAAAACAAACAAACAAAAATTAAGGCTCTTTGGACTGTCGAAAGGTATCTCTATAAATTTTTTCAGATTTTTCAATTCAAAGAAAAACTACGTCTGTATGGATTCTGGCGCTTATGAGCTGTATTGGGGTTTAGAATCTCGCTTTTGGAACTCTTTTTCTATACTTTACTAACCAAAACTTTAAATTCGAAGACCGATGGTACACAATTGTTTAAAAAAATCTGAGCCTTACCCGTGGATACTTTAAAAATAAATTATGTTTTTTCTCGATTTTTGAAGAGATTTAACATAATTTTTTCAAATTTATAGTTTTATACACCGAAAAAAAAATTAATGCGGCATCAAACGAAATTTCCTGTCTCACTCATGAAACGTTTAATTCCATGAATAAAATAAAATAACAATTGTGGTAACCATTTTTTTGACACTCGGCAAAAAATTTCTTTAATTTATTATGCAAGGCAGAGTATTCTAATTGATGCATGGCTCATTTTTCTCTCATTATAAACATTTATCTCCACATACATTACATGTATATTATGTGATGTAATTTTGAACCTAATCATTTACGAAAACGGGATAGTAATCAATACTACATTTTTTTATAGATTAGTTAATTGAAATTTTATTTTTCAATAATAGTCTATATTCAATAATTACTTTGTACTTATATTATATTATAATATGATAAACTTTATAAGTACTTTGTACATTTATATTAAAACAGGTTTTAAGCATTTTTATAAAAAATACATAATGTTATCCTAACATGATTATAAAATATATTAATTATATATGAATGCTATACCTGTTTTTTTCTAAACTTCGATTTAACAGATTTAGTAGACATCTACTATTACAACTTATGTACAAAAAGACTAAATTTACTCTACATATTCGTTAATTTTTACATAAAAATATTTACATACAAGCAAAAATTGCATTGATACTTTAATAAATAGCAATAACCCACGTTTTTCGATTTGGCTTAACGTGTCGTTTCAAAAAAATCTTATAATTAAAAATATTGTATTATATAATTAAACATAATCATATATTATATCTTTCTTATATACAATAATCATCACAGTCCATTTACCCAAATAAATGAGCATTTCAGGTAGCGAAAAAGATCAATATGCTACCACCAACAGCATCGAAAAGGCCAATAATGAATCTACAGTGATGATCCGATCAATTTCCTGTTCTTACGGCAGAACGCTGAAACAAAATAAATCGTAATTAATAATATTATAGGAGTCCATTTCACTTATAAAAATTGAATGGCAGTTTATATTTTTCAGAGAAATGTAGTTTAAATTTTAAAAACATCAATTTTTTAATTGAATGATTATTTGTTATACTTCTGCTTCTGAACTAAACGAAACTTAAAATTAATAAATTTTAATATGAATGAAAACTCTTGTAACCATTGTCGTAGCATTAAAATAAAAAACTAATTTTGCTCAAGAGTAATAATTATCTGAGAAGAACTAAATATGTAGAAATATTATTATTGAATAATTTTTCCTTTTATTTACGTGCTTCTTTTTTTCTGGAGATGTCTGATCGCGGAAAAATACTCGCTCTTATCAGTATGTAACCAATCACTGACCGTTGAGATATTATCAACGATTGCTAGCGATCGACCTGTCAATTTCACCTTCACTGGGTTCGCGCGATCATTTGTGTGCGGTTCATGTACTCTGTATACATGTGTTTGTGCATGGTTGCACAAATGATTCTGTTACAAATATTGCACCCCGCACGACCCGTAATCTAATGTACATGTTTCCAACGAGATTGGACGAAATATATTATTCAAAAACTTTTGTGGAGTGAAAATAAGTAAGTTTTCACTATTATTAAATGAATTTGTAGAAAAATTGTTTATCTTATTGTTGATTATAAAACATAGTAATTTTAATAAAATTTAAATTACGTAAACATTTCCTTTCAACATTTTTTCTATAATCCCATATAATTATCAACACTTACTAGAAGCTCTCTTCAAAATATTGTCAATAGTTTGCTTCGACAATAATTACAAAAGTTAAGTAAATGTAAGATTTAAAGAATAGAATTGAATGAAGTAGAAATAATAATTTAGTTGATATTTACCAATGACTCTCCTATTATATTTTTTATTTCAGGTTTGTTAATACTATTAGATAATCCATTATGATTGTTGTTATTTTGATTGTGATTTTTGGGTTTCCTTTTTCTCGATTGAATTGCATCTTTCTTCATACTCATGGGTCGATTTACCTGAAATAATACCATTGACATGTTTAATATTTATTTTCGACGACTTATTTAACTTGTTAACTTTGCAATCATTATTGATGTATTATTTCGGGAATTATGTTTTGTTTTGTCATGCACGAAAATAATTAATTTTATCAATACCCCGTGATTCAAAAAGATTTCTGCTCGCGGAGATCTCGTAGACAAGATTTTGATAACGATTGGTCTTGACCACGACGTTAAATTTACAAAAGCTTTTAAATGTTGTCATTAAAACAATCTGATATTTAACTCGTGAAACAACGAAAGTACCGAAATACAATTAATATAAAGAAGTATAAAATACAAAAAAAAAAAAAAATACAAAAGAATTAGAAAGTGGCGTTTGAACGACTTATTTGACAGGGAAGAATGCTGTGTGCTCTTCTAGCGTCAATTACGTATAAAAGCAAACTACGCTCGACTTATCAGATAGAATGAAATAAGTAAATAAAAACGCGTCGAATAATGGAAAAATAAAATACATCATTGTTTCTGTGACATCGATAACCCATATGTAATGCGCTATCGACATAAAAAAACACTTTTAAATTTAAAAAATTCAGCTCAAAACAATATACCATGCGAGCTACAAAAGGATCAGATGCGAACGATAAGAGCATCTTATTTGACGCACGTGAAAAAGTGTTACGGTACGAAGGCGAAGAAAGTATCATAGATAACGGATGTGAGAGAAACGAGGCCTTCCGATCCACGCGCGGAGTATTGGGCCAGAGTTAAAACAAATAGTCTGCGAAGGAAATACACTTGCCAAAGCGTCGAGCGGTAAAAGCGGAAATAAAGAGTTGGTATTTGTCAAAATGTTTCATAAATACGCAACGACGAAAGTGTAAGCGAGACTCATCGATTGTCTCGGAGCACCTCGTAGTGGGCTCACGTACGGCTAATGTCACAGTATTTTTACTTGTACGTATTACATGGCCTCTTCCCAACTCTTTTGACGCTTCCCATGACTCCGTGACTCATTGCCGTAAAAGCATTAATTTTTGTCTGTATATGTATCTATTCATAAGAGGTCACTTACGTTGTGTAGTTTGTAGTATAGGCCACAAGCATTGCAGACTGGGTCTCCGTTGTTATTTCTCCGCCAAAGCGTCGTGTTAGCTGTGTTGCAGTTGGCACACGTAACACCTGCTCGCCTGGTTCCGTTTTGCTAAAACAAACAATTCAATAATGAACATCGGCGACAATCTAGGACAAGCGCTATATATTCTATTTTCAAACCAACTGCGACTCGACAGCCTCGACGAGATGAGAAGATTTGTGGAATAGAAAAGAAAGAAGTACGAACTTACCGATTGTGCGGATGCCTTGGCCTTGGCCCTCGGGGCCGGCTGCCTGGGCGCCGCGGAATTGCATTGGCCGCAAACTTGGATCGATTGGCCTCCGTTGCCCGTCTTGCGCCAGAGTCCCAAACCGCTGCTGCCGCAACTCGCGCACGCGACCTTGGTCTCGATGCTGCTCAGGGGCAGGTGCTCGAACGCTTGGTCGGCTGGCGACATCGTGGACCAGCCGCCGGCCGAGCCAGCGGGACCGCCGTTGCTCATGTAGCCGGCCGCGCTGTTGTACAGCATACCGGCGGCGCTGGCGGTGTCCCCGATGCCGGGCACGAAGCCCGCGGGTACGTACTCGTAGCCGACCTGGGGCCCGTCGGAGCTCGGCGAGCCCGACCAGTACTGGTCCTGGCCGGGCTTGCTCAGCTGATAGGATACCTGGGCGCCCGGATAGAGATTGACCTGGCTCGGGGATCCGGGCTGCTCGTACTGAAGCGGTGCCGTGCGCATCAGCGACGACGAAGACAGCGTGGGGTCGCTCTTGATGTACAAACCAGCGGCATGTTCCATCTGTGAATAAATATACATCGAAATTGAGCCTCGAGCCGAGCCAGAGATATTTATACACACATTCGCTGTTTATTCTCTTCGACGATCTGATAGCATTGAATATTATGTTTAAAAAAAAAGGCCTCACGCAAGTGCGATAATGCGGCTGAAAAGTTTGTTTGCATTCGTCCGCGATGAGTCTGTTTTTATTTGCACGCTGTATCTGTCAATCGCGCGGTCAATCGAGTTTGTCTGACGCTGAAGCTCGTGTGTTTTGTTGCAGCCGGTACTGAGGACGATCGCGAGAGAGAGAAAAACAGCGACGCGTCGATGTAAGAAAATTGAAGAAGAAGTCTTACCTCTACGCGAGACGGGGCTTGACTAGATGGCGGCAAGTACATGAGCTCCGCGTGCTTGGAGTACGTGTAGCTGGGGCCCTGGGTCAACGACTCGGCCTGGATGTACTGGCTGTAGACGGGGGTCTGAGCTGTGGTCAACGGCACGGACTCCAATGTGGTGTAGGTACTCGAAGATACCTTCATGCTCTCCGGAGCCACGTTGACCTCAGCGCTGTACTTGACCAGGCCGTTGTTCTCGACGTAAGCAATTTGAGCATGATGCTGCTGTTGTTGCTGCTGCTGCTGCTGCTGCTGCTGCTGCTGCTGCTGCTGCGGATGGGGATGATGATGCTGTGGTTGCTGCGCTTGTTGTTGTTGATGCTGGTGCTGATGATGCTGATGATGCTGATGATGTTGCTGCTGCTGATGCTGCACCAATCTCATTTGCGCATCGATCGGTGGCGAGTAGCTCTGATGACTCGAAGGGCTGAGATGAGCAATGTGTTGCGACTGTTGCACTATGGTCGGCTGCTGGACTTCGTAAGCATCGCTCGTAGGAACGTTCTGAAGGATTTGACCTCGCTGCGCGGGTGGCTGCTGCTGCTGCTGCTGCTGCTGCTGAGGTTGCGCTTGTTGCTGCGGCTGCTGTGGCTGCGATTGCATGGAGATGGGCGGGCTGTAAGTTGCCGCCGTTGGGCGTGGAGCGTGCACTATGTACGTCACAGGCTTGTCGCCTAATCCCTCAAATCTGAAATAAATTTGCATCTATAATTAATTCGTTCTTAACAAAATTATTTTTGAAAGACCGTAGCGTATATTTACCTATGCTGATCGTCGATCGTCAACTGCACGTCGGTTCCATCCTCCGTTTTGATGTGCAAATCCTCGACGTTGGACGTGGTGAAGATGACCTGCTGAGTGTGCTGATTGTCTACGGCGCCGTGCTCGTGCAACGTGACCGGCTGCAGCTGTATCTGGAACTGGGTCGGCTGAGCCTGAGCCTCGTCTCTGTACAGAGTAGCAGCGTCTTTGACGTCGCCGGGCGACTGCGTCACTGCGATGGCAATCTCATTGACCGTCTCCACGGGCGAACATACGGTGGTCGGCTCGATAGTGGTCGTTATGTGACCTGAGGTCGTTATCGTTCGTACGTGCCGATGACTCTGAATCACACTCCTGGGACTCTCGACGATCAGTTGCTGCTGTTGGGGCTGTTGCTGCGTTTGGGCCTGTTGCTGGGGCTGCTGAGATTGTTGATTCGATTGAGGCTGCGCTTGTGCTTGCTCCTGTTGATGTTGAGTTTGTTGGATTGTTTGTTGTTGCTGCTGCTGCTGATGATGATGATGCTGGCTATGCTGTTGATGCAGATGCTGTTGTTGTGTTTGTTGTTGCTCCTGTTGCTGTTGTTGTTGTTGTTGTTGCTGCTGCTGCTGCTGTTGCAATTGCTCTTGTTGCTGTTGCAACTGTTCTTGCTGCTGTTGCTGCTGCAATTGTTCTTGTTGTTGCTGCTGCAGTTGTTCTTGTTGTTGTTGCTGCTGCTGCTGTTGTTGGGGATGATGACTATCATCCCTCTGCCCAGGTGAAACATGTCCAGGATTCTGCCACTCAATTTTTTCTTCTAGCCGATGCTTTTGAAAAGGCTCCGACATTGTCTCCTGTAAACGATAATACTAAGTTCTATTTTTTATACTGTTCTTTCAAGACAGACACAATTGAACATATATTATATTATATAAATGAACAAAAACTATCGCTACATCTCGATCAAATAAAAATAGAAACTAAATAATGTCAACGGCGGACTTGCATGCTTTTATGCATCCAACCTATTTCAACAAAATTAAGAAGTCAATGATTCATTGTTGAAAGATAAAAAATTTTCTGACCATTCCCATGAGCAAAGATTCTACGAAGAAACTGCAGTTAATAGTCATCGCATCGCGGGAAAACACCAAGATCGTTGCGCACCTCGACTCATTCTAGTATATTGAGTGAGCGTCAGTGTCAACTCATTTATATAGATACACGCACTAAAAATTCGCTTTTATTTGTATATAGATCCATTTGTTCTTTTACGCGAATACAGCCTTAAAATCCTCGCTGATATTTTCAGAATCACGAATGTCGCACACGCGTCTGTGTAATTGCACTACTCCATCGCAAGGAGATTAGTCACTCGAGAGTCTTATGTGTGCAGTGCAAATTTTACTTTTAATATATAAGTACCCGCGTCGTATAATTTGGAACCTTATTACTTTACGATCGGCGCGTATAGTGTCGTTCCGCGTCGACACTGACACGATCGAGATAAAAATAGAGACGTATATTTACACAAGTATAAAAAAAAGACCGAATCCTTGTTTACATTTTTCTATACCCGTTATTGCATACAATATACGGCAGTGACTTTTTGTTGGAATCACACTAATCACGAAGTCGTTCATTCTTATTGAAAGTGATTCTATTATCGCGTGGTTGCATTTAAGTGTCCGCGACACAAGACACGAGTCGCGGCGCAGGAAATATTTTACATCCATCAGCCATACATATGTTAATTAACATAGGTTTGGAAGACACGTACATGTAATTTAGGCTTCGATAAGTGAAAACACATTATGAAACTAAGTAGACTACTTGGGTATGTTAGAGAGGTATTTAGCGTACTTCGGTGGCCCCATACAGAAAAAAAATGAATGACGACGCGCGGTGAGACACGGCACATAATGAGGTGTATTATTTGCTCGTGAACGAGCGACGGCACGCGACCCGAGCTCTCGAGTGCTATTTGAGAATATATATACTACTATATATAATATAGGCTGTGCGATGAAGAAGCACCTCGTGAAATAGAGAAAGAGAGAAGGCACACCTCGTTTGTCGAGAAAAGTCGCCCGCGCGCGCCCGAGAGTGCGAGAGATCACTTGTTTGCACGATCGTCACTTCCGCCGAGGCAATGTCAAGTTTCGACTTCCTCTTTTGCCAAATGCTCTGACTCTATGCCTGCTTATAACGTGTACGAGACTCGATGATTGCACATCGTTTTCGCCAACGTGAAGGAATTTCCATCCTTGTGTTAAATCTCCTTTTTTTCGCTCCTGGACGCAACTACTTTGACGCGCGCGATCGTACTTGAACGAGAGGTAAAATCGAGCGAATTCACTAATCAAAATTGCGCGCCGATACGCTTGCGCACCGATGCTCACGTGCTGAAATTTATGTATACAACTATTGCGAACTAACGAACACATGGAAATTAATCAATTTGTGAATTGTCGATTGGCACGCAGGTTTCAGCTCTTTGTTTCGAACTTTACCATTCATAAAAAGCAACAATGCTTGTTTAGTAAGTAAATAATAATTATTGATTCATAGCTATTGATAATTACAGATTTCTATAATATGTTTCATTAGCTAGAACCAAATCAAGCGTCGACTGCTTTCCAATCGATTTAATACGTAAGCCAATTGTTTGTAATCAAACTTCGTATTTAAGAAAAATTATCTCGATTAGAAAAAAATGGATAACAAAGCACATGGGATACTTTTTAGTAGATAAAAATTATGTCAGAGGTCAAAGCAACTTGTTATTAGTTATGCAAAATCTTAAGTTAATGTTGGCGCAAGTTCTGCTTTTGTATGTTTGAACAAATGCTGCGTACGAGAAGCACTGAATACACTCACTTAGAACAGTATGAAACTGACATATTCAATTCAATATTTCTATAATTTTTTATGGATAACACACTCAAGTAAATTTAAAAAATATCTCGGAAATATTTACCTCCATAGTTAATGGTAACTGCATTTACAACGTCCACAAGTATACCGGGGAAAAATGTTCTTTCACACTTGTAAAGACACTCAAAACTTTTTTTCTTCAGGTATAATACGCACGTTTAGATTTGTTTATACGTGCATGTGTATAAGTATATTTGTTCCTGGTGCCTTTGAAAATGAGCCACACACTCTAAACTTCGAATATTTATCGAATCGAGCAATACTCCTCGCACCTGAGTTTAGTTACCTCTACACTTGTGTAGACTCGAATGAGGCTCTCTGCGTGACTGATTGAAACACTCGACTAGAGTCACATACACATGAACCTCGCGCTCGGCCAGGGTGGGAGGCTGGATGTGCGGGGGGGACGTCCGACGAAGAGAGGAGTGGGAGTAAGAGACGTACGTATACACAATGTAAAGAGCTGTGGTTATTAAAAAGGCATTAAAAACACCTCGCAGGTAATTAAACTGTAGTGTGACATGACCTGCGTACTATTCTTCTGAGAAGAATAGAAAATGATTCGTGATTCGTGCCCGCTTGATCGTAGATTCGATGGTCTTGGAAAATGCATGAATAGCGGCGCCACACGGATTAGTCTGTCTACATTAATAGCCACAACAATCCATCATGTTTGAAGCATTGGAGTATTTTCCAAAGAAAATCTTATCTATATATGAAAACGTGCATCGGGTATAAAAGATTTTGATTCTGTCTAACCACTTGCATTTTGGAGGCGAATCGTCTAGTAGACTAACGAGAGGAAAAATCAGAGATGCGGGTAAATTTTTCAGCGAGTGCGTAGTTACGCCACTCGCGCGTTACAATAAACAAAGCGATGGCCCATGGTAAGTATGAAAAAGGGGAGCGTGATTAAATAAGCTGCACAATCGCCGTGGTGCGCGTCTGTGGGTGTACTAATGCAAAGGCGGCACAAGACTCGTGATGATTGACACAAGCGAGACTCTGTTTACCCTGCGCCGCGAGCTGATAAGCACAAAAACGTATAGTGCGCGCTGATAAGGGACTCTTGTATACGTATATAAATGCCTCTCATGGCAATTCTCATGTTATACACATTAAAAAAGCAGGCGCGATATAGATGCAGCTCGCTTTTTTCGTAAGAGCGCCCGAGTTGCCGAGCTGCCTGTGTACCACTTCGTTCGCTTTTCCTCCTTCTGCAGTAAGTAAGTGAGTGGAATTTTGTAATGTGCACATATCCATGCTATGTGTTTATTAAATAAAGCCATTTATAAATAAATATTATTAGCCGTTATTTTCCCATTTCCAAAATGTAGAAGCAAACACACACCCACTTTCATTTATAAATATATCAGATGCAACTCGCTCCAAAGATGTGACATGATTCTTCAATTCGTGATCTTGTCATCTCGCATTGAAGAATGTATACAAATAATCAAATGATAAAAATGTTTTGAAGATAACATGCTTTTTTAAATTTAATTATTTTTGAATGAAATTATTATGGTTAATTTGTTTGTAACTTGCATGGAAATTATTGTTGCGCACTTCAGTGAGTCAAAAACAACTCTTTTGAAATCGATTGTTAAAACGCTTATTAATTTTTTTTCAGAACATCTTTCAGGTATCGCATCCTGTCAACATCCAGCGAACATATTGCCCGATCCTTTCATTGATCGGTCAAACTATCTCTCCCCAGCTTTTTTAACTGTATACTTGTTTAACGTTAACGCGACATGTTGTGGGCACATAGAGCCGATGGCAAGGATAGTTCGTATTATCGGCGCGTGCCACACGCGAGGGGGGCAACGTCGTATCAATATGCATATGACTTAATAATATTTTTAAATTGGGTATATATACTACGTGCTCGGGGGGACAGGTTGCGAGCATTGACATAAGCGAGTAGCCTGATTATACACACAGGCGCACAGCCTATGTACAAGATTTGTCATGCGGTAAATCAGGTGCTCGAAATCGTCAGAACCAGATGGTCGCAACGTCGCTCGCCAGATCGGAAGTTGACCCGCGACGCGGATCGCGGCCCGCGTCGACGCCGCCGCCGCCACCACCAACTGGTGGGAGAGCCGCAGCCGGCAGCGGTAGCCGAGGCGGCCTCTCGATTTGCGAGCCTCGCGTCGAATCGCGAAGCGACGGGGGCGTGATAAATCGAGACGCGAACTCGCTCGCGCGTGCGTCATCCGCACAGCACACGGTGCTATATCTATTATATATATGTGTGAGCAAACACACACACACTCGTAATCAACGGGGGCTACCGAACTGCCTGTATTTGCGCAACAGCTAGCGCAGAAGCTGACGGTACACATGGGCTCGCGAGCTTTGGATGCGGTTTCGTAATGCTCTCTCGCCTGCTTTAAGGTCCGGTTAGCGACTTTTGAATGAGAGGCAAAGAGAAAGACATTTTAGCCATGCGGATCGATGACAAATTCGACAAGACGAGCGGAAGTTTCGCTCACATCCTTTCCGGCTGGCCACGGGGAACCATAGTCGAGATGCATTGAGAAAGAAAGGAGTGCTTGGCCTTTCCGACTTTTCTCTTCGCGCTCGTACTTTTACTGCCATGCTAACGAGCAAATAACGCGCTAGTGTACGAATATATATAGCTTCGTTGTTGCTCCGAAGTCGCGCATGTGGCTCTCGTCGAGCTTCGAGCTGGATTATTGATTTTTTTTGCAACCTTGTCAATTACCGATGTATATAGCCGCTGATGATCGCAGGTGACTGTAACGTGCCGCGCTAAAGCTGCTGCTGCTGCTGCGACGGCGGTGGCAATTGATGAGTCATCTCGTCGCCAACTCGTGCGCGAGCTCGCATATACTCTGTTGTTTCAAGAGCATGGATTTTTAGACTGATAAGGCGCGGATCG